CTGATCTCAAAAGAAAATAATATAAACTTCTCCAAAGGGTGTGGGGGATCCATTGTGTCCGTGTTGACGCAAAACTAATACATTGGCTGTATATCCTGCATGATTATGAGCAAGCAAAACTTATTGTGAGCGCACTCATAAATATAGCCAGGGGACCCAAAAGTAGAGCAAGGGAACACCAAAGTATTGCGAGGGCACGCTAGCTAATGCGTGGAAATGCCAAAAAATATTATGAGGTCACGCAAAACTTATTGCGAGCGCACGCAAAAGTATTGCGAGGGGACCCAAAATCATTTCGTGGGCACGCAAAAGGAAAAAAAACACTATGTTTTTAGGAGGATGTTCAGTAATGGTCATTATTGATTTATTTATGGCTGGGGTACTGACAGCTGTTTTAAACTATGTCTACTGAAGTAGACATGTGAAGCAATTGGAGCACACAACCTTCGATATGTAACCGCATTCTCTTTTTAAAATGTTTTTTTATGGGCGTCCCGTAGTGAAAAATGTTCCTCTCCACTGTACAAAATTAGGCCACCCTTTCACATTTACCCAAAAAAAAAACAAACAAACAAAAAAGTCTGGTTGTAATACACAATGCTTCATCTTCACTTCATGGTCATGTTTAGGCAGCATTCCATGGACAGTTTGACAACGAGGATGATTTTTTTCATTTATTTTTCTAAACAAAGAATAACAGATGACTAATAACTATTTTTGGTTGGCTTTACAAGAAAACATGACTTGGTTATGGTAAACAACAAAAAATGCTTGAAAGTGGTTATAAAATTGAAATAGTTAGGAATAGCTTACATTCTTCTTACAACTAACCAACGTCACGGACAACATATCGACATTTAAATGCAGTTTCTTAAAGGATCAATAGTGGGTGCACATTGTGGTAACTTCATTCTAGATTGCGTTTCCCTACATGAAAAGATGATCCATATACAGCTGTTAGGGATCAGGACCATTCTATCTCACTTTTATTTGTCTTCAGCTTATTTACACCTATGACTTTTAAATTATCACATACGATTGTGAGTTATTGAGTTAACAAACGTTATTGGGTCGACATTAAACATGCTGTAATTGTCAGACTGTTGAGCACAACTAAATGTAAGCAGCACATGCTAACTATGAAATGTAAATGGTTAAATTGTAAATGTATTGGCCACACATGTCTATGTAACAGGAGATATTTACACAAAAAGTTTTTTTTAAAACTTTAAATTAAACATATACCTGTGACATACACAAATCTGTACCACAAATTTTTTTTTTTCCGCCGACCCTTTTGGTAGTTTCATTTGTCTGATGTGACAAGAAGTTATTTTGGCGGCATTAAGCTAATAGCTTAATGCTGCAATAGCGGCATTAGTAGCGGCTAATAGACCAGAAATGACATCACATTAATTTCAACTGCCATTGAGAACATATTTAAGGGTAATTTGAGTGTTTTGGCAGAAGCAAGACGTATTTGTATAAAGCATGTGCCATTTTCTACCTCATTTAATGTTGTCATACAAATAAGGTAGATGTAATGACATCGGGATTTTTCTGCATCTTAGCAGGGAAGGACCATCTCATGTTAACCTTTCCCAACTTATAATTACTGCGATGCAAGTCTTACGAGAGTCATATCGGACACGAACGAAGACGACTGTTTTAAACTAAGGCGTTTTCCCCTTCATCACTCCGTATCGACTGCGCCGTCAGAGACCCAGTTCTGGAGGCCTTCGGTCGGCCGGCCAGCTGCATAGACACGCCATTGTTGATGAGCTCAGGCCCAGCACACAGACCGCATACCAGATTCCATCCACAGCCTGTCTCAGAATGCTGCACCTCCTGGCAAACTTGGCAAACCCTTGATCTAAGTAAACAGCGGCCTGCTATGTTATCACTGCAGAATCAATGGTCCTACAAAGGAGTGTATTACATTGTTTACACTGAACGGCGTTAAAACAGAGAGGCGCCCGACGCCCGCTTTTTCGTTCTCCCGAGCAGAATCACTGATTGTTCAGTTGAGGTAAGGAACTATTCCAGAATCTGTCCATGTGACTTGTATTTTATTTGCTCAAGTCACAGGCATATTTTTAGAAACTGTGGCAATTTGTAAAGACACCCTTTTCTAACAGGTACTTCATCTGACAGATTTGCGGTCCTTTGCAGTCTGCTTCTATAAAAGAGCCTTGTCATGAGCGCTGTAACACTTTATTATGCCTTTCTACCTCTGGTTATATTTTTGTAAGTGCAGTCTAACGGCTGTTGTGGATAAACATGGTGCGCCGCAGTTGTTTCTAAAGCAAAGAGCCTCGTAAAAAGCATTTCCAGATACAGTAGCTTTGTATGTATGAACAGATGTGTAGACGTGTGAAAAACAGATCACACACTCTGTCAAAACTACAGTTTTAGACATCCAAACCTAAATTTAGAAGATATTGCCTAGTATTTACCAGCTCTTGATGGATTATGGATTTGACAAAAACAAAGCCGAATTCAAAAGAAATGTGTAAATGTGTGTCATGATTTGATGAGACGTAAAACCATCTTTAACCCACGTTGTTTGAGATCATTGACAGTTACATGCCTTTGTCTTTTTACAGTTTTCGTTGTTAAATTCCTCTATTTTGATCAGGCTGTAGCCATCAAAAAGTTGGCGTCAAGTTTAACTATGGAGTATTTTGGCACACCGAAGATTTCATGTTTAATGAAGTGACCTGCAAGGTTTTCAGGTCCTGTCACAGCAACATAAGCCCAAATGATCATTTCTCCACTACCGTGCTTAACAACTGGTAAGTGGGGTTGATACCTCTTCTTTGGTCTCATCTGTACAAAAGAGATTGCTCTTGTTATTTTTGACCTCATAATGCCATATGTATCATATTTGATACACACGGTTTCTGAAATGTTTTGCATCTGAGAGTGTTTGCATCATTTAGTGCTAAAAACGTAGCTCAAAACCCTGTTGTGCCCCATTAGATATACCTGATAACAAGGTGCAGAAGACTACATTGTTATAATTTCTTCTTACTGCACGCTATTAAATGATTAAGATTCCAAATTTGTTTCTTTTTTCATATCTTGTTAAAGACTTCAAACAAAAACGTCTATTTTTTTATTGGATCAGGTTTTAAAGGGTCAATATGTAAGTTTGCAAACCTAGGTCATTCAGCTATTTTCTTTTTAGGTAAAAGAAACTTACTACGGGCAACCTTTCCGGAGAAGACATGCTTGTTCAGACTTATTATACTGTCATGAACTTTAACACTTTAACACCTAACAGACTAGCAGAGACCTGTGGCTGTGCATTTGCAGATGCCTAAAAACCTCAGTGGAATAAATATATGTACACATTTAGGTTAAACAAGTTCATGTTCTATGAGCATATTTTCCTAACTTTTAGGCCTGTTGAGAACCAAGGGTTTCTTTATCATATCCTGATATGATAAATCTCACAATTAATAGAGCACTCAATGTTTTTCACTTGACTGTACCTAGTCTGTGCTGTATGCTGCTCTTTAAAGCACTCTCTTGGCATATCCAGTATGAATACAATTACAGGATATTATTCCTCCTCTGTAGTATAAACACTTACCCATCAGCTTGTTTCTGACAATAAAAATTACACAACTCCAAAGGAAACTAGCCAACCAAATGTTTGTCAGTATTTAATTCTTTGCTGAATGTCTTTGTCTTTTGCAAAAGCAACGCAAAGATCATCTTGTGTTGTGAAGTCACTGTCTGACTTCACAACACTTTGTCACAGTTTTGTGACTCATGGCCTAATGATTCTGAGGTCTAGTGCTCACCCACTGAAGTCAAACCATCATGCCTGTTTCAAGAGTAGCTGATAAGTAAGATGTGCAGATTGACAGGCAGATCTTAAGCGACTATATTTTTTAAATCTCTATGTATTACCTTTATCTTTGTACAGTCCTCTTCTTTTGCACATACTAAGGGGGCATTGCATGAGCATTTTGTCATTGCTCCCTAGAAAGAATGAATGGTGTATTAGCATTTAGCTCACATATTCTCTGCAAGTATAGCAGTAAAGTGCTACTGAGTGATATCCATCCTAATACAGGTAAAAGCTCCTGGTGCACTATTTCCTGATATCGAATGCACACCTGTATTAGAAATTCATGTTTACAATGGTGAACAAGAGATTTTTTTTCAAAATTGTGAAAGTGAAAAGGGTTTTGCTTAAGAGCAGGAGCTTCAAAACTCTTTTGTTTATTAGCTTTTAACATCTGTTTGTTTCTTATTATTCTAATTTGTATGTGGTGCTATTTCTTTGGGTTTTTTAATGCTGTTAGCTCAGGGCCTTACAATTTAGCTTAAAGGGTACTAACATCCAAACTAGGAAAAACACAACTCATCCGTTGAAGAAGCCCTATAGGAGTTTCAGAGCTACTGTAGCTACTGTACGTACCGTTCCGGGAGGTACAATGTACAATTTACAAACCGTTCCATGTATTAGCCCTTTACGGGTCCGGTATTAATACCCTTTGTTTTACAATTAAGTTAATTGGAAGTCCCTGGCTAAAAAAAAAACGAGTGAAATCATGAATATGTTTAGCTCTGGTTAAATAAAAAAGGTAAAAAAAACACGTTCGAATTCGTTCAGACCGTCTGAAGGAGACGTCGGCGGACACCTCACGACCTCTGAAACACCTCTGCACGTTCGGAGTGTCTGCCCGAAACAAGTCCCCCTCCACTCGCCTATTACGCAAAAAGCGGCGGACGGTTGTGATTTGCTGGGCCCAGCCCTCCCCGCTCGCTGGTAACTTATTACAGGAGTTCGCAGGCGGAGCTGCTCTGCCTTTGAGATAAATAGTGAGTGGTACAATTGGCGGAGTCGGGTACGAGGCTGTCCTTTTGCGTTTCCTGAAAGGGACAGTCAACAGTCTGCGCGTTTAAAAAGAAAAAAGAAAAAAAAACAAGCCCCAACCCAACCGTTAAGCCACACCAACGGAAACGAGGGGAGACGTTACCGTGGAGTTAACATGTCGGGAAATAAGGACAGTGACGGGGGATGGAGTAAATTTCTGTGGAATTCAGAGAAGAGAGAGTTTCTAGGACGAACAGCAGGCAGTTGGTGTAAGTACTCCCATTTCCTTAATTAGCACGAACTAACGAGCTTGTCGTGGAGAACGGCTAACCGCCGGTGACACGGGCGTCTAGCTAAAATAAGAGTGGAAACCATTTTTTTCCTGGTGGTACCGCCACACAGACAGCACCTGTTAGAGCCCACTGCCTCTGACATGCTGAGTCGTGACTTCGGCTTTCAATGGAGACTGTCTGGAAAAAAGTTGGCCTGCAGAACCTGAATAAACCTCAACTCTGACGCTCGAAACGAGCTCCGCTCGCAAAGTTGGCCAGATAGAAACGCCGCAGGTAGAAGGCAGACCAGAAAAAGAAAGAAAGAAAGAAAACCGATACGAATTACAAACCAGGCAACATGTGTTTGAAATGAATGACGAGGTGCCATTTTATGCTTGTTTGACCCCCTAAGTTTTAGCCGAGGTGACTTTCAGCAAATACCGCAAATGTATTGTTTATAGACATAGTAATAGGTGGTGGTTACCTAGGCGTAGTCCGAGTCGTGCCAGCCATTAATTATTGGCGTTTATGAAAAGGTCATCTTGAAGGACAGTCCGTGGTGGGCCAAGACTTCACCAAATAGGATGGTGAAAGTTGAGCTTGACCGCTGTGTCCATCTCTGCTCCACCTTTTTTATTTTATTTTAGCTTCCTAACGAGAACGGAGGGGAAAACTGGACATGTTTTATTCCTCCCAATGATAAGATGATAGCTAATCTCTTGCGGCAATATCAAGGGCTGATTATATTTTCCCCGCCTTTTCCCCCCAAATCCCGAGATTAAAGGCTCTAACTCTTACTAATCGTTTTACCACTGTTTGCAATACTTTGGAGACGGGAGAGTGCTCGCCTGATACGGTCAGCGGTTGGGGTGTTGATTTGATGGGATAACAAACCAAACGTTACACTGGGGCAATTAAGCTCGCTAAACCGTTTTACCAATTAGAAATGGCTTATTTTCTTTTCTCGCCCCCTCCGTACAACTCCAGAGAAAACTGCAGCCGGCTTTGGCTAGACACCGCTCGGGAACACGGTGTTGTGTTGGAGCGGATCACGACTCACATGTCTCGTGGGCCACCCCCCTCTCCCTCTATCTTTTTCTCTCTCCCCCTTTGAAAAAAAAAATATCTCTGAAAGGCATGCGACAATTCCCGTCGTGTCTTTGCCCGTTTAATGTACTCGTACCTCAAACGCGTAACAAAAAAACGAATATCCGGGAAAGGCTAATTCTTTTACGGGAAAAAAAAAATCACAGCAATGAAAACGTTGGGTAGCTGCTACTGCTGGCGCGTGGTGTTTAATGGCGAACTTACAGGGGCTACTTCCCGTTGGAGATTTTTTCTATTTTTTACAACCACTTCGATATGGTTCTAATGTTAGCTAAGCCAGTAGTTGTACTCACTTATCATCTATATCAGTTGCCCCCGGTGTCATTTGTCGGGGGCGGTTATATCGCGCTTACTGAAAGTGAGCTCTGAAAGCAACAGGTATGTCTGGGGCTGATTCCCTGCCCTCTATTTGCGTTTCGTCGTGTCTTCCTGTAGTTTTCAACGTGTCAGTGTAGAAAAAAAATGAAAAGAAAAAGGTTGTCGTGAGTCTGCCTGATTTAATCAGTTTAAAACTGTTAGGACGTGTTTTCGACGACATTAGGGTAGGGGGAGAAGAGGGACTATATGTTTCATAGCCATAAGCGTGCTCGCGCACTACGTAGTTTAAACGTTCAGACGTGGGGAAGGTCCCTTCACAACACGCTGCGGCATGGGTGGGGGAGGTGCTCCTCATTCAAACTCAAGTCTGCCTGTCACCACCACCAGCCACTCTGTGCTGTTGACACTTCTGGCCTGTTGGCTTAATACTCCACCAAGTCACATAAAGTCACAAAGGTAATGTCCAGGTAATTGGCTGGTAATAAGGCCATGCTAGTTCTCATGTTCCCAGAGGCCCTAGACTTATTTTTTTTTACTCATGGTTGATTCATGTTAGTAAGAGCAGAACTGATAGTCACATGACTGCTGACACAAAGGAAGATGTGATATTGCGTGAGAATGACAGGGTATTGCCCTTACTGACATGTGGGTTCGGAGGCGAGGAAAAAAGGCGTTTTACAGATGCCATGCATCCGTTTCCGTTTCTTAAATGGCGCATTGCTAAGACAGCCACATGTAAGTCACATGTAACTGTATTCCCACGAGCGTCAGAGCCTGGTACAGAAAACTGTCGGCCGTTTAGCTCAGACAGGTGCATCACAGAGCTGTCCTGTAGCCGTTGACGTGCTCATTGGAAAATAGCTTGCTGCTTGTTTGCTTAAGTCACAGGTGTTGGGGGGGTGGCCTGATACACTTGGAAGTCAATCATCCCAGCAGAATGTCATAAGCAGCATACGTTTATCGAACCTTCAGAAAGGGGAAAAGAGTTCTTGCTCCTAGTTGCATCTCTTCTAACCAGTAAAAGCGTATCAGTCTCACAGAGATGGGCTGGGGGGGGGGGCAGTACGGCAGCTGAACCACCTGCAGAGCTCTGAGGCTACGCCGTGAGATGGGCTTTTTGGTTGCACAAATCCCTCCAAACTCACCAAACTGGTTTTACTAAGGCTGATCCGAACATGAATCTAGGAGTGAAGGGACATTTTAATGAGTGTTCCCACGTAACAACAAACACGTGGTGGAAAAGGCGATATCATCTGGCTATTGCATCATTAAAAACCATTAGTTTCAGTTAGTTAGTGATAAAGATGAATAATATTCGATCAGATGTTTGAGGGACTTATTGGCCTAATGTTTCAGCATCTCAGTGTCTGTCATTCCACATAAATAGTCCTCAGACCTGATCTTAGTCAGTCTCATATCAGGCCATAAAATATTCATATTAGTCCAATTTCAGTATACAAAATTAGATAAAAGTATTACTATAAAAAGGAGCGTGTAACATTGCAGGCTCTGCTTTTTTATGGATGTGGTCCGATCTGAATGGTTTTCTCTCGCAGTTTTGTGACAAAGCACAAAGCTCTTCTTTTTATTTGAACTTTTTTTTTTCCCCTCTCAGCAGCAGTCCATTTTAAGAGACGCTCTAAATTTATGACATCTTCCCTGAAACAATTCCACAAATATCAAATTGATGCAGAACATCTTAAAAAGATTGGGTCGCTGGATTTAAACCAGGTTAAATTAAAACTCAGTTTCTTCTATTGGCACATGCGGCCACACGCAGAAACTCTGAGGTATGTCGAGCTTAACTGATACCAGTAAAACCAGGCTTGCCAATAAGATTCTATCTCCTGTAAGAGCACGAAAAAGGAGCTCTTTGTTTAATTACAGTGTTCTTATGCGGAACCTGTTGGAAGCGGCACAGTGGAAAGAGCAGGGGTGGGGGTCTGTGTCAGAGGTGGCTCTGGGGCCTGAGAAGGAGTGACTCATCCTGCTGTACTGGAAGTGCAACCCTCACAGAAGAAGGGGTACTTTGAATTATGTGAAGAGCTGATGGGAACATAAAAGCCGGTAAAAACTGGTAAAATTTTCCATTATGAGAAAAAGGAATCTCACAGAGTGTCTGCTGTTGGTGAAGCATCTTCTCTGCTGCATGTATTTTTTCTGTTTAAGAAATTTCGAGAGTTTATCGAGCGCATTTAAGCAGCTTGAAGTGAACAAAAGGCTTTACTCGACCGTTAAACTTTTAAATTCCTTTGTTAATATTCCGTTGAATATTTCTATCTTTATTCTTGGTCTGAGGTGATGTCATTGTTGTGTAAACAAACTTCTCCAAAACCAAAAAGGATGTTTTCCTCTGGCAGAAGCTTCCTTTTATATGAACTGATCACTGAATGGTGGCTCATAAAGGAGTCTGATTGCTTTATGTGAACCGATCGCTGGATTGTGGCTCGTAAACGAGTCTTGATTTGTTTGATCAGCTTTACCTGAGCGTGCACGTTTTCTCCCCTTCAGTTAAAATCACCTTGTTCTACGTGATCTTCTACGGATGCTTGGCTGGGATTTTCATCGGGACCATTCAGGCGCTGCTGCTCACGCTCAGCGACTACAAACCCACCTATCAGGACAGAGTGGCCCCGCCAGGTAGGTGCCTCCATCTTTTCTCTCCCCCCTCATCCCTGCCCGTGTGAGGGGTGGGGGATCAGGAAATCTCACACCCCTCACGCTGAAAGTGACAGTTGGGGTGTGCCTTTAAGCAGCCGCTCTATCAGGAGTCTTTCTGACCTCAAATAGGCTTCAGCCATTTTGTCCTTCACTCCTCTCAGCCAGTCAATGGTTCCCCCCTCAGGCAACAGGGGAACTAAAGCCACTCGTGCGCTCTGAGTCACCGCTGACATGTTTACATGTGCATGTGCGGCCCGAGTTTGGGATAAAACGACAAAGAGTTTGAAAACTAAAAGAGTTTTTCACAGCCGAGAGGCCACAAGTCTCCTTTTTTTTTGTTCTGCTTCTTCTCCCCCTCCACTCCCTCGAAGTCTAATCTGTTATCTTGCGTGAACACTCTCAACAACACGAAGCCCGGCCGCTTTACGAGGGAAAAAAAGGGGCTCGGAGAGAGGTTCTGAAGCAGCGGTCCTAGCACTAGTCGGGCAGCACATGCCCCAGCCCCTGGGCAGTTATTTATAGCGGCCATTGTAGATGACCGGCTCCACGCGCCTGCCGCTTCGGCCGCGACTGTTGGCGGTGGGAGATTAGCAGAGGCAAGAAGCAAAGAGGGCCGAGCAACCCTCCAGCAGAGGCACAGTCGAGTAAGCACGGAGCAGAGTTTTCTTTTTTTTTTTTTCATTTTCAGAGCGTGAGCCCGCCTCCCACTCTGGGGCTAAAAGTTTCCATTGTGAGAGAGACACACGTGAGAGTGGAGGGGAGGGGGGGAGGGGGGCAGGGGACCGGCCAACTTTCACAAGCCTTCAGGGCAACCCGAGCGCTGGTTCTCAGCCTCTGTTGCAGCAACACTCGCTCAAGTAGAGGAAAATAAATACACGAGTCCGGCCGCAAAAGGGCAAAGAGTTTTTTTTCCAAACGTCCATGTCATTGTTGCTCTTTTAACTCATCTGAGCCTCCCACAGCCGCGCCTCGCTCCAGCCTCCCGCACACGGGGCTGTGGAAAATTACCGTTGAGAAGAGCTGGCAGAGACCATCCTAAGGAAATCCCAAATCCCCAAGCCCCCCTATTGTCCTGAGATAATAGCAGAGAGACTTACAAAAGCTCTCATGACATGTCCAGCTATTTCTATCTGGATTTTGTATTTTCTTTAAATAAAAAAGCACATCTTTAGTGTAAAGATATGGGAATTCTTGGGAATGTTTTACACCAAAATGATTTTTTCCTTCTTCTTTTCCTTCTAGGCCTGTCCCATACCCCTTTCTCTGAGAAATCTGAAATTTCTTTCAAACTGAGCGATAAGGACTCATATCAGAAGTACATCAATAGCATGGACAAACTGCTTGAAAAATACAACCCGGAAGGTCAGACGGACGACATGAAATACGAAAACTGCGGCGGTAAGTGGAAGCCCACCGGGCGGCGCTCTGGGTGGCGTGGAGACGCCGGCCATAACGCTGTTTTGCCTTTTCTCCCTTTCTCGCCGTCCGCAGAAACCCCCTTCCCCTACAAAGACCGCGGCAGCCTGGACGACAAGCAGGGGCAGAAGAAGGCCTGCCGCTTCCCCCGGACCTGGCTCAACAGCTGCTCCGGCCTGTCCGACAAAGCCTACGGGTTCGACGTGGGCAAGCCCTGCATCATAGTCAAGCTCAACAGGATCGTCAACTTCAGACCACGGGTGAGTGCGAGGTTTAGGGTTTGAACCGCGGACGGGAGTCGGGGTCTCCTTCCCCAGAACAATGTAACACAACGCCACCGCCCGGCTTAGCGTTCGGCTCAGCCACGGCCCCAAAGAATGAGCAGCTGCCAGCAGCCACCGGCCAAACACGCCTAATATTAGCCGGCAGAGCTCTCTTACAGTGGAGGAAACTCTGAGGGAATGTTTCCACGCGACCTGGAAAACGCCGCGTGCCGTCAGGGGGAATCCTTCCTCTGGGTGCCGCCATCTGCCCGCAGGCCGAAGCTGGAAGTGAACAGCTGGATTCCATTTTGGAGATGACCAGAGGCAACGTTTACTGTGATTGGCCCAGTTTGAACAAAACGGAATTGAAACGGTTTAAAGCCAAGATTCAAAGCCATCGAGTGTGGCTCAAATTCACAGCACTAAACCAGCATTCCGTAGTCAGAAAGGATGATATGTAACCACTGGTAACTTTATTAGTTCGCTCAGCCGAACACTCCGAACAGGAAAAACGCTCTAAAGAGACTTGGGCTGAAAGAACATGTTCAGGGAAGGAAGAAATGATGCTCCCCTCTGAGCCGACTACTCTGTAATAAAGCTTCTTCTAAAGGCTTTTCATGGCCACTCAAACTTAGATGTGCCGAAGATTTATCAGGAAGAATGAGAGGAGCCCAGATTCATCCTCCGACCGCCAGGAGTTGGAAGGGCACCATTTGGAAATATAAGGGCCAGAGTTCATTAATATTGTAATTTTTTAAAATCTGGATTTGTGTTCTTTATCCATAGGTTCCTGAGAGCAATCAGTCCATCCCAGAAGGTCTGCAGGGCAAATCATACGACAACCTGGTCCCCATTTTCTGCAAAAATAAGGTAAGTCTCCTCCAATCCACCGGTGTCCAGAGTGTGGCGTCCTTCTTCTTCTTCTCCTTCAATAAACGGTTTGACTGCGTCCGTTTGCAGAGGGAGGAGGATGCGGATAAGATTGGAGAGATCAAGTACTTTGGCTTCGGCGGTGGTTTCCCGCTGCAGTATTACCCGTACTACGGCAAGCGCCTGCACCCCCAGTACCTGCAGCCTCTGGTGGCCCTGCAGTTCGTCAACCTCACCCTGGGCCAGGACCTGCGCATCGAGTGCAAAGTTTACGGCGGGAACATCGACTACAGCGAGAAAGACCGCTACCAGGGACGCTTTGACATTAAATTCAACATAAACTCGTGACCTCAGCCATGACGAGCACTCTGTCTTTGAAAACATAAAATGAAAAAAAAACAACAAAAACAAACTAAGCGTAGAAAGAATTCAAGAGTTCAGATAAACACCACTAGTCTTTGAACATTCATAATATACAGGACCTACAGTTAATCTGTGTGCTTTACACTAGCTTTTCTGTGTTTTTTGTCAAGAGTTAGAATGTAAGATACAAGAGTAGCAATAGCAAATATTTATTCTACTGTAAATGAAAATATTCCTCGAGCCATGGGATGTTCTTCTATTACTGTAAAGCTTCAATTCCACTACTGACGCGTAGCGAGTTGTGTTTCTGTCCCCAAGGTATTTCACCACGTGGTTTCTATATATTTTTGGAGTGTCCATAGTCGTAGTCCTGTTGTAATCTCCTCTGTCTTATGTCCGCTTTAGTGGTCCAAGGTGTGTGCGCGCTCCTGTTTATGTGAATGCGTGGAGTGTTCCGTCGATGTGCTGACTAACTGAAAAACTAGCATGGTACTCTGAACCTTTAAGGCCCACGTATGAGTAAATGACTGCGCTCCATGGAATCGTTTTATTTTATTTTTTGCGTGTGTGTGTTCTTTTATTCAAGATGGCTGTGGAAGGACACATTTGTACACATTTTTGTTCCTCTTAGCTGTTAGATTTTTGGTTTGACATTTCTGTTTGATGCTCTTACATCTTGTTCATTCTTAAGTCGTCGTGTAGAGCTTTGTGGGTCCAGCCTAGAAGACTGTCACCTCCACGGAAACAGTGGCAACTCAGTGCTTTGAAATCTGTTTTGCTGGAGACGTCACGTTACGTGATGCAACTTACTATTGAATGTTTTAGCCATTTTCATGGTGGAAGAATTTTATATTTATGCAGTTGTACTTTTTTTTTTTTTTTTTTTTTTTTTTGTAATGTATGAATCCAAAACCAAAGTCGCTGGTCAAAAAAATATTAGAGAATATCAGATGGCAAAGCAGTATCCCATGTAATAAGATGTTATAGTTGGTGTGAAAATACTCGATTCAATGTTAAAGATCAAAAACACATGTCAGGAGTCTGCTCTTGTCACTTTATTTAATCTGCATAAGGCTGAAACAATAAACAGAAAACTGAGACAATGGTGACGTCTTTAAATATGGAGCCAAAGAGATTCTGTCCTTCAGTGTTATCCGTCCAGAATTTTGAAGAAATACTCCACCTGAAAAAAAAAAAATTAAAAGGAAATTCATCAGAGCTCTGGCTTTAATTTGTGCTTAGTGCTACCGCTCTAAACTCTTACTCACTACAAGCCCTTTCTTTTTCACTACTGTATGTCCCAGTCTATGTGGGGGGGGGGATGACAGTCAGTCACAGGCTAATTTACAACAAGGGGGACATTTGTCCCGGCCACAGATCAGGAGTTTTCCCGAACAATGACGTTGGACGGGTCAGACCCACTCCCGGTCAAACAATGGGGTTTGTTTCATATTCCTCTGCCGTCCTTGTTCTCAGAGTGGGATCTGAGCTCGCCCCGGCCCACAGAGCCGAGTCATGAGACTCCTCTGAGGGCACGGCCTTAAAGAGTGGACGGACTTTTCTTTGCCACCCACCTCCAGGACGCTGTCCTCGGGGAGGTCCGTGCAGTGGACGGCGTTCCTCACTTTGTCCTTGCCGTAGAGGGCCCGCAGCGTGTTTGGACGAAGATGCAGAGCGATTTCCTGTAAAAAAAAAAAAAACATCCCGATTGTCATATCTCTGCTGATTCTAAACGAGGGCAAATGTTTTTTTTTGTACGGGCGTTTAACGGGAGGGAGCTGGAGGCTGACGTTCGGACATCCTGTGCTGTGGTGTGTTACTAAAACAGTGATTACTCAGCAGCTGGACATGTGATCCTGTAGAAAAAGGGGAATGGAGGAGGGGTGGGGGGGTAAAAACTACTCACACTAAGCTGACTTCATTGACTGTAAAAGGAGATACACATCATTACTGGTACTTCATACGCTTTTCCCAGATTTCATTGAAAGATCACACGTAGTTCGCCTTCTGGATTTGGAGAAATATCCACCAAAAAAATCCACAGCTACCAACCTGTCCTGTAAGTCAGAGTTTAGTTTCTGTAGCTGCTTCTCTGTTGTCTTCAGACAGCGGGCACCTCATTTATCTCCAGCGACTATTTCCTTTCAGCATCAGACACTCCCCAAGGTCAAAGCCGGGCTCTGTTGCCCTGAGAGCCTCCAGGAAATGCAACCCCCCCCCCCCCCCCCCCCCAACACACACACACACTCACACACTCACACACGCACGCTACCGCCGCCAGGGGAGGGGCAGCATGTGAATAATTCATTCACCGGGACCACCGTGGACTCTACCGTCGCAGAAATGTCAGGAGAAGATAACCGCGCCTTTACCCCTGATTTTTGGGCCCCGTTAGGCCGGGGGGGGGGGGGAGCACACGAGAGAGAGAGAGAGAGAGAGAGAGAGAGAGAGCGCACAAAAAGACAGGAAAAAAGGCTCAAGGTTGCGATTGTACCGGCCCTCTCTAAAACAAAACCAAAAAAATTAAAACAAACCGTTGAGGGCAAAGCTCCTGGTTGCGAAACCCTGGAGGCCCTGACACGATTACAGAAAAAGTACAGTATTATGAGGCATGTGACTGTTAAAGTGGGCTGAAACGGGCCATTGCCCAACACTCTGGATCAAGACCAAGTTCCTTTTCTGCTAATCACATTCCCACCGAGCTCGGCTTATCCGGAGACGGTAAATAAGACGGACTGAGCTGGAGCAGGGTTACCTGTTAGGACCAGAAGGGCCTTCCAGTGGCTAACGCCCGTTGGCCGAGAAGGCTCCCAGCTCTGAGGACAAACGGACATATCCGAGTCCCTGCGAGCGGTCACTTTCACCAGCTCTCCAGATTTGACCCTGAAGGCCGGTTTGGGGGTTCGGTTTAAACTAGCTCGCACCGCGGTGAGCATTTCCACATTTTAAAACTCTGAGTTTCTCCTGAAACCATGAGTTGGTGACAGGGTTTACAGAGCTCCACCTTGAATGAAAGAAGGAAAAAAAATGCTGACAAAACATAAACAATCATCACTAGGTACGACTTCCTACACCCATACTGAAAAAGAGGGACGGTTTCTGTTGGGATTGAGCATTTTATGTGAACAAACGGGCCCGGATGGGTTTTTAAACTGGGTGACAGAGATGTGGTGGCCTACTTTTGTCATGATACTCAATTACATCTCTGGAGCCAAAGAGAAGCTACTATGTTAGGAATACAGCCTTTGGCTGCCTGCCTGCCCGTCTCCCTCCCAGGCATAAATGTGTGCTATTCTGTATTAATTCTGTGTTATTAAGAGCGGAAAATACGTTATATGGATTTGAGCTGATCAGAAAGCTCAAAATGAAGCCGCTGTTTGCTAAAAAACTATCTGGTCCGATCAGATAACTGTAACATTGTGTCTACTTTGTAAGTCCCTTTGGTTAAAAGCGACTCCTAAATGCAAAAACAGAAAAATAAATGCATAAATCAGCTTATAACTGAACAGAAATTACTCATATTGGGACCCGAAATATGTTTACAGTCAGTATAACGACATGTCCGCCTGTTACATGCACCATCTTAGGAGCCGTCTTTCTCATGTCTGTGTCCAAACAGCGTTCTTTTAATGACTCTCAAAGGAAAAAGAAAGAATTATATTCCTGGAATGAGAGAATTCTTTGCTCGGTATTAGCTTTAGCGACCTATGAGCTCTTTTGCTGACAGCGTCTAATTGGAACTTGATTGAAATGAGTCTGACTGTGTGCTTCTGTGGGTCGGTTAATGGCCGGGGTGGTGGCGACCTGGTCACATGACGGCCCAGAAATGTCTGATCCTTCACGCGCTGCTGACCGTCCCGCCCTGCAGAGGTCAGAGCGAGCTGAAGCGGTCAAGTGTCACCACTGTGCTCTTTTCTTGCTTAGTGTGGTCCTTTTTTAGATGACATAATTATAAACGTTAAACAGTACCTCACGTTTAGGAAAATAACTAAAGCTAAACTAAAATGAAAAATAGTTCAAAAGAAACAGGAAATGAATAGTCGACAATGCCGATTTGAACTGTAATCTCATTACAGTTACCACGGTGCAGTAAATGTAGCACAGAGGCCACCAGAGACAGATGATATCTGCCCCCCCTCCCCCTTACAAAACCATTACGGGTGGAAAAATCAATGGGAAAAGCGGAGTTTTTATCAACATAATAGAATCTTATCCTGTCGTAAAAAGGAAGTTGAGGCCCGTTTGATGGCGGGGGTCGGGCGGGAGGGCAGCGGGGCCTCGTTTAAAGTCCTAGAAAGGGAAGCAGTGTGGCCGGCCGTGCGGGCGGGCTCTGGCCGGGCTAACAGAGGACCGCTGTGTCCGGCCACTCTGATATCTGGACGCATCACGAGGCCCGGCGCAATCTCATGACTGAGTGAGAGGCAGCTGAGGGTGTGGAGGTGTGAATGCACGCGGGCCCTTTTATTTCAAGATATGCGACGCCTGGCCGAACTGCCCCCCCCTTTTTTTTCTTTTTTTTTTGCCCCGGTTAAAGAAAGGCCGGACTGAATTGATCCACCCTCTGCTCTGCCGTGATGAAAATGGAGTTTGAGGTCAGTGAATCCATCAGTTCGTTCGCATCGGACCTGTGCTGTTTATAGATCCGTCAGCCTGAGAGAATCAATAGTCTGTTCTTACCGCAAACAGCCGGACCTTAATTGTTGGGAGACGCTCAGACTTTTTCTCTCTGTCATTGCAGAGCTGGCGTCTCTCTGTCCGCCGGCCTGATAATGGCCATCGAAATCCTTGAACGCATATTTAGACGAGAAAAGCATAGCACTTCAACACAAAGCGGCACGGGGGCTGAGCTGGTCCCCCTTCACAGATCCATATGACTTTGGGCTTGTGTTGAGTCATGAACGGCCCCGGTTTCACAGGGGAGTAACTGTAGGAGTCTGAGTGGGTGTTTGTTTGCGTCGGATAAAGCTGAGGTGAGGCCGAGGTCACCGAGAGGTGAAACGGTGAGTAAAGTGTGAGGCAATCGACGGATGTGGGTCCTGAGGGGGATGAGAATGCTGACGAGAAACTATAGTTTCAATGCTGGACACATACATATAAACTGTGCTTATAAAATCTATTACATCACCTGATTGAAAAAAAAAAAAACCTGTTTAAAGCCTTAGACCTGTTTAAATATTTAAATATTAACAGGTATACATATATAGAGAGAAAAAACTAACTAAACATCAATTAATGAGAAGTAGATATGGAAAACATTAGCTAGTTAAAGTAGTTTCCTGCTCTGTGGCTACATCGGGAGATCTGATGTGAGCATACAGAGTAAAAGATGCATAAATTCATCCTCTTAAAAAAAGAAGAATTAACAGGGCAAAAACGAGCTGAAGCTCTGGTGTTCTTTTTCTAACATCATTTACAGCTGAGTCACAGACAGCTGCTCTGTCTGAGGGAGGAACTGCGCAGGTAGGAATTCTCTCACCGCTAAGCTAAGCGAGCAGAGCAGCTTATCATTAGGTTTCCCATCACGCACCTGCACAGCCCTGCAGCTCCGGTTCCGCTCTGTACGGGAACATACAAATGTGCACAAATGTTCCTTTCCACACATACGCGCACACACACACACACACACACACACTTTGCTTTTGCCTTCTTTGGTCCATTTTAACCAGGCAGTTCCACGAAATGCTGAGCAGGATCTTTGACCAAAACGTAACCCCCGGTCGGTTTACACACTCTGATTTTAAGATTCACTTTTCCCAAGGTCAGCTGTAAACCAGGAAGCAGGAAATGGGCTCCTTTCAAACACGAGGCCTTTCCTTTTCCTTCTTCCCTAACTGGCCTGCTCTCCAGCTGCCAGCTTGAACAGCTTTAAAAAGCAGATGTGATCCAGATTTTACCAGAAAGAAAAAAATCTGAGACTACACGACAACAGCGCACCACAACTGGCTGAAATAACTCAGAGCAAGATAAGAACTGTTGTCCAGTCCTCAAAACATCTGAACCTTAAAAGTAAATGCTACCAAGACAGGAATCCTAAACAACAGCACCATGGTGATAAAGGACCGTAGCATTGCTTAAAGCTGTATCACAGTATTTGTGGGTTTCTGTGGCAGTACTACTAGAGAAATGGGCTTTGTCTTCTACCAATTAAAAAAAGAGTATACTTTCTGACTTTTAAAAAAATCTCATTGTCCATACGGACATAATAGGCCCCTCCTGTGTTTGGCACTGACGGAATGCAGATGCTCCTCTCACATCAGTTTAATAGGAAATAAGAAAGGAATAAGAATCACGACGAGGGGAAGGAGAAACACTCACGGGATCAGCAGGCCCGCAGAGGTCCCTGAAGGTCTTGTGTGTGTCCGTACCCCGGATCTCCAGCGCCACGCAGGGACCGGAGCACAGATCGGTCACCATTCTCTGACAAAGAAAACCCAATGGAAATAAATCATTCAAATGTGTGGGTGCCATTTTGATTGCATATACAGCAAAATGTAGAGAGGTCTTCATGTTGATTCTTTGTTTGTTCATTTCAAAATAAAAAAACAAATAAAAGAAAATGGCAACAAAAAAAAACCCAGTGTTGATATGTCTTGGATATAAACTTGACAGATAACGAACAACTGTTATCTTTTTTTACTCGGCTAGATCTTATCAATTGTGTTTACGTGCAATCAAACAGTTGCAGAGCAAGAACGTTGCAATGCAGAATTTGGCAGGCTGCCGGCATGTTGAGAACAGATTATACTACCATGCCAATGTGGTGGCTTAGAAAGGCCCTCGAATAAAAACCCAGAACAAAAAAACGTGTCAAAAGTAACCATTTTACCTAGGTTTACCTTGTTATGAATATGCAGGACTGAGGGATAGGTGAGGATATGTATACGGTCTTTAGACTGAAGTTTTACAGAGTGTGCATATGAGTAAACTTTACTGGTAACGAATAGCTGATACCTTTTGTTGTTCAGCTTGATCTTGTGTTTACGTGTCATCAAAAAGTAACACAGTGCGATGCGGGGATTTGCCATGAGGGCACAACCGCGTGCTGTTTATACTCACAGCGTACTCTGCCACCACGCCTTTGTAAACCTCGTAGAATTCCTCGGCGTTTGCCCGGTCCATGTTGAACTGTGGGAATATAATATTACTCATGAGGAACAACAATAACATTTTCTATATTTTAAATGAATTTTTTTTTTGTCAAAGTGAATGAAAGACTGCAGAATAATGGGTATATTTCTATGACTAAAATGGGTGTATTTCTATGCAGAGAAATGCAGAGAGAATTTGCTATGGCCGCCAATACGCCGCAGTGTTATTAAATTGATAGAGCTGATTGATTCATTTTGCCCTGCAGCGTCTTGTCTGATGCGCTGAAATGAATGAAGTGTGAAGGGTCAGCGTTTGCATCATGGATGCTCAAAGTTCAATTGAGAGGTTTGCTGCAGATTGGAAGAAGCTAATAGACAGCGCGTATGACATGAAAACACTCCATGGACGTGGAGTTTACAAACAACGCTAAGGAAAGGAAAGAAGAGGAGGATTGTCCGTGAAGCTTTTACCATCTGAAGAGCTGAAATTTCGAATCCAGCCGCATATATGGAGTTGAGAATCTTCCCCGTCAAGCCTGTAAACACGTCAGAGATGTTTTTATGGGCTTTAACTCGCGTTTACAAGAAGGGTGTTTTAAGGCTGAAATCAAAATGCGAAGTTGGGTCCTGATCCAGTGAGCCTCGGGAGCATCCCTGCATTTCAATTAACCGAACAAAAACAAATGCAGTGGCATTCGATAAGGTAATGCTGAATGTTATTCCCCTGCTCATCAGTGTTACGCTGCACTGCTCAGGCCTCGGTGGCTCCTTAGGACCGGGGAAGGTGTTAAGGACGCGTTATTTTCCGTACCATCAACCTTTTAGAAAGTCAGACCCTGAGATGTACGGCGTGTCACTGCGAGGGTGAAATATGTCTACGAGAAAATGAGAAAAAAATAATAAAATAATGCCGCTGCAGTGACAAACGGCCACCACTGACGTTGAAGGTCAGACATAATTGAACCGAGGCGCCAGTTTCATAATCTCAGTCTGACATCCTGATAAAAAAAAAAAAAGAAAAAAAAAAGGGGAGCTCGTGTACTCTTCAGACAGGACGTCCGCCCCCCCCAGATGAAACCTCACTGCTGCAGTGTGCAGTCGTGACTTCCAGTTTGCGCCAGGTGTGGCTGACGGATTTCTCCACGGTTCCGTCACGCTCCAGTTGTGTCTATAAGGTGAGGCGCCACCTCCTGAGTCACTGCGCCGTCCCCGGGTGGCTGCTGCCAGCAGCCTGTGGAGGATAGGCACACAGAGCTACGCAGTTCCCCAAAGCAGCTGCTGCTGTTGCTAGGAGATCCTATTCTGGGTGCCTGGCAACAGAAGCTTCTCTATTCTGGTCATGTCTGAGTGAATTTTCAGTCACAACTTCCTTTATCGGCGCTGCGATAGGCGGCGTCCTGCAGACGTAGTCGCAGTCGCATAAATTAGCCGCTTAAGTCATCCTTGAGGGAAATCGGAGCCGGTGCTTTGGTACTATTTGTCCTCAGCTGGACGAACCGTTCAGCCCGAGTTACTATTCATGGCTTAGACCAAATATACCACCCCCGGTATGAAAGGTAAACTGGGTGTGGTCACATAAAAAAAAAAGTCAAGAGGCTATTTCCTTGATGGGTTTATACCAGAGCTATTCCACCTGCAGAAAACTTTCCATAAGAAAGTTATGAAAATTGTCCAGCCAACAACAGAGATGGCCATACTTTCTGTATGTGAATATACCCACAAACAGACTCGACCTAGCACACTGACCTGCTGCTATTTCCTTTGGACTTAAACATTGGAAGACAAAAGACTCAGTGAGCATAAGGAGCTGCCACTTTCCTTGTAAATGACTTATAATTATGTCTGTAAATACCTGCTGAGCAGCCCGAGTCAACTCTGAAAACTGTTAAACGGAATACTTGGAAGACTAAAGAAAAAGGAAAGCCAGAGCAACGCATGACTTCTATTTTTTGGAATTTCTCTCATGGAAACTTTTACTTTACTTCAACCAAATTTAGTCCCTGTCTTCTTTCATGGTTCACTACAGCAAACCCCAGTTCCCTGCATGTTGTTTTCACTAAAGAGCGCTACAAGCGTGCACACTCTCACTGGGATCATTATCAATGCAGTTTCTCAACCTGGCCTCCCCATATAAACAAAAGTTCCTTTGCAGTCCTCTCGTGCAGCAAATATTCTGACATGTCCGAGCAGGAAAATCCCAACTGGAACCACAGACATAAAAATCAGTTGTGGCTCTGTTCCATTTAGGCGTGGTGAGGATGTGTTGTGCCAGAGAGCAGCATACGCAGCACCAGGGTGCTGGCACATTAAATACAGGCTTTATTACCATGTTAATGGCAGGCCTCAGAACGGCCCCTTAAATGAGGGCTAAGAACAAAACAACCAAATAAGGAAGGATCATTTAAGGATTCATGATAGAATTTCCTCTGTGCTGCTGAATAAACACTGAATGTTAAGTTGTATATTGGTTTAGCTTGATATAATTAGGCAATCATTTGGAAATTAGCAAGTCAGGACAAAATCACAAATAAAGATATATATACAAGTGAAATAATAATGCAGTATATACAAAAATGAATATCTTTTTTCAATCTCAGTCAACCAGAAGCCACAAGTTCCTGGATAAGACAGATCTTCACTCATTTTTATCCATGAATGCTAGCAGACACTCCCCTAATTTTTTCTATTTGCACATTACAACACTATTGACACTATGACCAGCAAAGTAACAAGACGCCCAAAACTTTGCATCAAGCCGGTGGCAGGTCGACTTCTCCTGAACAATCTGCTTTATGTGGTGTGTTTGGATTTTTTACAAACGTGGCCCCTAGTCAGTTCGTCGGTGAACCATTCCCTGTGTGCTTGCTTCAGCTCTGCCTGGATAATTTCACATTTCACAGGTCAAAGCTCTTGTGGCATGCTTTATGAACAGGGATCAAGGTGGGGATTTGGAAAAACCCGAGGCCCAATTCAATAACCGCGTTTGCCCCAAGGATGTGAGCGAGCCATACATGGAACTGGTCCTATAGGTCAGTGCAACAAGCAAGTGGAAGCGTCCTGCTTACCGTCCGATATGGCATGAGGTTTGATGATGCAGCATGTGCAGTCTGTAAAGGTGGCTGTGTTGGCAGGGCCGTGGCCAATGGTGGAGGGAAAAAAGAATTCAAGCTCCTACCGAAAACAAACAAGAGTGGGTATCATCAATTCTGCACCAGCACGTGTGGACGTAAAGAAAGTGAAGAATTCTAGCTCAGCATCCTCACTTTTGCTGCTGCTGCCAGTGAGTCAGAGCCATGGCCGACATTCTTGATGCCATCTTTTCCAAACTGGCCGCGAACGCTCTGTGGTGCCTCCCTCTGTGCCACGGTGGAGTCAGGGGGTCCCAGGAGCTTCCTCCAGATAGACATGGCCTCATCACCCATAAGCTCCATGGCAACCACCGGGCCCGAGGACAAATACTGCACCAGGTTACTGCAAAACGGAGGAACAACGGGAGTCAGCGGCTGAATTCAATGGGGGGAATGTCAGTCGAATCGTTATCGCAGCTTCTGGTAATCACAGTTGAACCTTCTCAGCGAAGATCTGGCAAATCATTGACGCAGGGACTCACTTGTAGAAAGGCTTCGACTGATGTTCTGCATAAAAGTCTGCCGCTTGGCTCCTGTAATGTCACAAAACCATAAAACCAAGTTAATCAGTGACAAAACGATCTTGTGCTTTTAAATATAACCCTACGTTCCCTGATTGGCAGTAAAAGTAGTCGGTGATAATTTTGTGGCCTAATCTGTTTGAGAAATTGAGATTTTAGGCAAGCAACATTTCACTACCCCTAGCAGGGTCACTTTTTATTGAAGAATGTATACAAAAAAAATCTTTTTTTCCATTTAATTCAATCCCAACCCCAAATTAACTGCACCTGTTTTTAAATTTGCTCAAATAAGTATGTGAACATGTATTTTTCTCCATTGTGGAGTTGTTATGCAAGATCCGAGAAATCATATAATTAGTTTTATGGCCTTAGTGTTATGAAAGGGCCTGGCCTGCCTTACCAGGCAATAGCAAGTCGCCAACAGATCAGGGGAGGAGTTCTGAAGAAGCATGAATTAGATTTGGTTGGTGTGATTTATTGCCCATTTGCCCTGATGCATAAATAAATGTGTGATTACAAACGGAAATGGAAAAGGGACCCGAAAAACCTATGAAGAGGGGAGAGTGAGAAATGAGCGGACAAGAGGGACAGAGAAATGTTAGAGGGATCAAAAATAAACCTGTTTTTAATAAAAACGCAAAGCTAGACTTCCTGCGGGAGACTTCCTGCAAACATCTAAGAATTTATTCTATTCAAATGAGACAGAAATTGAGGAAAACAATGATTTAGGAATAATGAATTAAGACTGGGACAGAGGCTCAACTTTCAGCGCAATAACAACCATAAGGTTTCTGCTAAAGCATCCAGCCCATCTGATTAAAAAAACGTGTCTCCATCAGCCTTCTGCAGAGCTCAAAGAGTTTAAGGGCTGTCCAATTTAGTTGAATCGAGTGCCCAGGAAAAGGGACATTTTGAAAACAAGCAGGGCAGTGTGGCTTTAGGACCTCAGTTGGAAAACGTTGATCTAATAAGCCTCAGTTATTATTATTCCAGACGAGTAACTTCCGGCAACAAAAAGGCAGCTTTGGAGAGTCATGCTACAGGGGACTGAGGGGATACTTTGAATACTTTTGAATTGCATCACCTTTCATAATTGTTGCTGAAATAGGCTGATTTTGTGAGGAATAACCTCATGGTGTAAAACCAATCAAATCATTAGAAGTCTTGAATTTCATGTTTACTCGACTTCAGGCCAGCAGGTTTTTTATAATTCACGCAGTACTCTTTGGTCTTTCTGAGGAAACAAATGATTTGATAATATGAAGGAAGCGTGACTAAGCACCTAATAAAACAGTTAATTAAGTCAGAACTCCATCTGGCCCATGGTAAGCCATATGCTCCCAGTGTGTGAGAGAGCAGAGCTGTCCATCTGCTCTGAAGAAGGTCACGGCAAAACCAACTGCCCACATCTTCCTCTTTGACAGGAAAGTTTGGGGCATAGGAGCCATAATATGGTAGATTATCATTAGGTACTAGGTATAGAGCACAGGTGTCAAACTTTCAACATACCTGATTTATGTCAATGTGCCATTAACACAATATTTTCAAAAGATCCAATTCATCAGAATCAGGTTTTTAGAAGCAGGAAAATAGCTAAAGCGTACAGGACAGCGGATACCACAATTTGATGGTCCTGCTATAGAGAGTCCATCTTACCATGTAAGCTTAGTCATTTTCGCTTTGGTCACAATCAGGTTAGAGGAGTATATTAACTCAAAGACATCTCCAATCTTGGTCATCATATCCGGCTTTATCAAAGCGAGAGTTCTGGAAAAACAGAAAAAGCACGAAAAAAATGTAAAAAGTGAATGGTTTGTATAAGATACCACAGCTTCAAGGGTTGTCGGGTAAGTTTGTTCATATATACTGACGTAGTTTGTTTGTTGCCTAGCATTTCCTTGGCGTAGCTGTTTCCCTAAAAAGCCCAGTGTTGCTTAAACAACTGCCACCCCTGTCTGTGCTCACTTCGTTCTAGAGCTGCTTGTTTCCCTAAAAGAGCTCTCTATATTCAGACCACTCTCCTTGTTCCCACTGCTAAGTGGTTAATCTTTCATATCATGATGCAGCCGCCCCCATCTTTCAAGCTTTCGTCACAGGAATGGTACAGGCCACAGATGAGTAACATCTGTGGATCTTCCCCCCAAAAAATCACTTTGCTTAAAGAAGCAAAGAAGGGGAGAGTTTTTTAGTTTTTTTTTAACGTTTCAAAAATTCTACAGGACTCCTTTTATTTTCACTTACTTGAACATTGAATTAGCTACTGATTGACTCAGGTGATGAAAGCAAATGATCACAGCTTCTGTGACATTTAATCTGTTCTTGACAATTTGTCAATATTCAATTGAAAACAATGTCAAACGTGAGGCCATATCAAACCAGCCATATCAATAAATGCCTATAAATACCTTTATAAACAGTAGCCTATATTTATTCATCTAAATAGGCTGCAATTTAATTTATTAAGCTGTCACAATGAGAAGTCACACTTTTCCAATACTAATCAGAAGATCATGTACAATATGAGGGAGAGTATGATGTCCACGAGCAAGTTCCAGTAAAATGGGTTGTGTACAAAACTTACTAAACCACTAATCGTGCATATAATTGAGCTTAAAGAGTTCAGGTATGTGCAGTAACTAGAAGGGATAAGAAAGACTTACTGTAAAGCTGGACCACTCATACCTTTCTTTTTTGCTGCCCAGTTTGTTTGCTGTGTACTGATCTCCATAATCGATCAGATGTAGCTGCCGTGAGAACACGTTCACTCGATTCCCCACAAACAAGTCTTCTTGATGAATGTCTTCGTATTTGGTCTTTCTCAAAAATATACGTTGGTTCTTCACATCAAACTACGATTAAGGAGAAAAGAAAAAAACTGAATCTGATTTTGGGCTAAAACTATTGCTAGATTAAATGGACACAGCTTTGCCCAGATAAACTGAAGTAAACATGAAAGTGTAGAGAAAAATATGTACCATCTCCACCGACCCATCTTTAGGATAGTAGAAGAGTTGATAGCGCCGAAGGAGGGCTGCAGCGGGGTCATACCACTCAGCAAGAAAAGAGAAGCGATCCTCCTGAAAAAGGTTTTTTAAATGTTAATTCCCATATGCTGCATCATAAAATAACACTGGCATTTAAAAATGACATAAGGGGGTTAATGATATCGTCCACATATCACAACTGAGTCATGCAGACTGCTCTGAAGTACAAAAATAACTAAATAGATTACTAAATAAAATAGCTAAATGAATCTTTAAATCGGGTTTTTACTTCCCCATATTAAATCATTGATAGATTAAATAATTTTACAATGTTCTGTTAAGTCTGAAGCACTGATACAGAGTTTGGGGAGGTTCTCAACATTTACTGAGTCTGGCTGCTTCTTACTGAAACTTAAAAGCAAGAATTAAAGTGACCTTAGCTTCTGTTCCATGGTTGTAACTAGTGATTAGAAGTGTCTTATATTATCTTAATGAAACACCTGAACAATAACACACCATATCTGGGTCACCTTGTCAACCAAAGGCAGATAACAGCAGATTCTACTCTACATTGTTGCCCCATAGAAACACTGGCTGTTTGGTATATCTCAATATATATAACAATGGTTTACATGGGAGCTATTAAATAACAATCAGGAGCATTTTAGAATAATTTTGTTTTCCAGTTGATTGAAAAAACACAAAAGCGGTCTACATGTGTGTTGCTGAAAAATCTCTCCGCTTTTATTCTAAGCACAAAAAAACACAAATCCAAAATAACCAAATATAAGTAAATAAAGATTAATATAGAGAAATAGCAACTGAAACGGGGTAAATGCTAAAGAAAATTAACTCAATCCGATTAAATTTAATTGAAATACTCAAGATGTAATCATATCTACTCTATCTTTTCTTTTTGTGTTGGTGTTCTGCATTTTTGTGTTTATATTGGTGGTGTCATGATTCTACTTAAACTAATGTATCACGCTGATCTGCAACACAGCATTTCACCCCTCAACACAAAACAAACTTGAATGCCTACGATCAGTACTCAACATGTCTGCACAAGAGATACGTACAAGATTATTTAAAAAATGTGTCTACAATGCCGGTTAAACACGAGACATTAAGTTAGCTGCCACTGAGCTGTTAGCTTTAGCACCTAACAGTTTAACACAGGTTCATGCTCAACCTGTTAGCTTGTTAGAACAACTAAGTGCTAGCATTGTGCTAAATGTGACCTTATTTATACACTTAAAATGAGCATATTAATGTAAGTCATCCGCAGGAGTTTAGCCTTAATTAGCACCTGGATGTAACAACTGGCTATCTTAAGATTGCTAAGCTAACATTTCCAAACAACTTCTTGTTTGGTTGGTTGTTTTAACCAAAGTTCTGCGCCATAACTCTCGGTTTCACCGCATTGCTGTTACATATGGGACCTCTTAACTTACCATTTAAACAATTTGACTAACTGTACATGACCATGACCAAATATTGGAGACCGTTAAGAAAAGTTAGCTGTTCCGTGCTTTCTTTCGTTTCCATAGTAACTATGAGTGCAAACCGTAGTGCGTTCATGGGAAATTGGAAGCCAACTAACGTAATTTTAGTGCATCCAACTAAAATGTCAAATAGTTTTAACTATTGCTATGATTAGTCAATTTAATTAGCTTCCTTTTTAAAGGTTAAATGGCAATAGAAAATGTATTGCATAATATACATACAAGTTTAATGCGTCAGATGTACGTTTGATATATTCATGTGTTCCGATAGCAGCTATAGCTCAAGAACGCCAACCATTTTATGCTGTGGTAGCCTTAATGAATTTACATGTGAAAACTGTAGAAAGGAAAATGTTTCTTTAACTGTATATCCTCAGGTTATGGGTAAGCGCAGTCATTGTGTAATGCGTCATCTAGTGGCGGACTGGTCGTACTTGCGGACGTCGGAAGCTGAGTGTAGTTTTGAAATGTTCGGATGGTCGTAAATGCAACCATTGACCCCTCTCACATACCCGGAACAACAACAGAGTTCAGCGCTTTCTATCTAAGAGTCGTAGACGTTTTCACGCCCTCGCGAAATTATAAAAAGGTTAAAACATGAGCAAAAGTTTGGGATTTGTGCTCAGTGATTGTTAAATACAGTTGTCCTACATGGGTTCTTCAGCTCGTCTAAAACATCTCATACATGAGAATGGGCCTTTGATTTTAGATGGTGGACTGGCAACTGATCTTGAATCGCATGGAGCCAAACTGCAGGTGAAGCTCAAATCATCTCTCATTTTTATTCTGACAGACATTTCCCAAGCAGATTTATTCTCTTTTAAAGATATATATGCAAATTACCCTACAGCTTAATGTGGAGGATTGTAAAACCCAGCTCATAGAATGTGTGCAACAATATAGAATAGATTAAGTTACACATTTTTTTATGTGTTTTTTATGCACTTTATCTCTCTTAAAGTAATTCATGTCATTAACATTTAAAAGCTGGAAAATAAGCTGTTAAGATTCATCCTAAGTAGTTTCAAATAAGCACTGGTCCCATGATATATGTTCACCCTGCTCAAGGTGCTTCACCACCTCCAACATTATCAAACTGAAATATGTTTCTTTGTGTTTGTGTGTGTGTGCTTGTGTGTGTGTGTGCGCGTGGGTGTGTTTGCATGTGTGTCTACACAGGGAGATCCTTTATGGAGTGCCAGGCTTTTGCACACTAATCCCCAGGCCATAAAAGATGCCCATCACAGGTAGGTTCATACAATACCTACACCTACAAAGATTATTTACCAGATTTAATTAGGTTTAAATTAACTATTTTTTATAGCTAAAGTTCAGATTTGAGGTCAATAATTACCAGTTATAGCTTTTTTTGGCCTTTTGTATTAAGATAAATTATGTTGACTGCAGGCAAAAGATAAATGATTTATTTGACTACAGAGTCTTCAGTTCAGACGTTATGGGTGACTCTGGTGTGATTCCACTTCCTAATGGGCACCACTGTATATCCAAAGGTTTCTCCTCAGCGGTGCTGATATCATCACCACCGCGACCTACCAGGCGAGTATCCCGGGGTTCATCAGCCACTTGGACGTTAGCGCTGACCGCGCCCGGGAGCTGCTCATGTCCGGAGTTCATCTGGCAAAGGAGACGGTTAAGATATTCCAATCTGGTATTAAGTTATATGTTCTTTGATGTGTCTTTTTCTGTCTTTCTAATTTTAAAATCCCAGCTTACCATGACATTTTGTGTTTGAACCAAGAGGCTTTGTCTTTTTCTTTCTCAAAGGGCAGACGTGTCCCTTGGTGGCAGGCTCAGTTGGACCGTATGGGGCTTTTCTGCATGACGGATCAGAGTACTCTGGGGATTATGCAGAGGAGATGAGTGTTGAAGTGAGTTTTTCCTTTGCGATGAAACGGCTCTCGAAAAAAAAATGGCCGCTGACATGTCTGATATCGGATCTCAGGTGTCTTTCATCTTTTAAAAGGAGCTTAAAAGCTGGCACCGACCGCAGGTTGAGAGTTTAGGAGCAGCAGGAGCTGATCTCATCGCTTTTGAGACAATCCCGAGTATCAAAGAAGCCCAGGCCGTGGTGGAGCTGCTGAGAGAGTTCCCAAACTTAAACGCCTGGCTCTCCTTCTCCTGCAAGGTAAAAAAAAAAGTACGGCCATTTTTGATTCCCCTGTCATTACAGCAAAATTGATTGCCTTTATTAACAAAAAAACACCATCAGGATGAGAAGCATATTTCAGATGGGAGCCCCTTCAGAGATGCGGTGCAGGTTGCGGGCAGATGTGGCCAGCTGCTGGCCGTGGGGGTGAACTGCTGCCAGCCCTCTCTGGTGGAGCCGCTGCTGGCCTCCGCCCTGTCGCTTCTCGGCCCAGACACGAGCTGGGTGGTGTACCCCAACAGCGGAGAGGAGTGGGACCACCAGCAGCAGGGGTATGTTTCCCAGCCAGGTTAAGCAAACTGGGTGCATTAGAGTTTTTTTGAACATCAGGACTGTGTAAAAGCTTCGTTGAAAACAACACAATGTCCCTCACAAACAATAATCTATTGACACCAAATAGGTATTTCTGAAACAAATGTTCTGGAGCTGTATTTTATTTTTCTAAAATACAGCTCCAGAACATTTGTTTCAGAAATACTAAACCGCTAAATATAGTTACATCAAATAAAAAACAGTAGATTTTATTACCTAAAGCTCATTTGACTACTTATTGCAATCTGTTTTTATGTTAAGACAAAAAGAGAATGTTCATTAACAAGCATATTATCAAATGACTTAATTATTACTAATTTTAAAGCAAAGTTGCTGCTGAATTTAACTGAGAAAAAGAAAAAACTAATAATATTAGCTATCTTACCCATATAGCTTTGCCGCTGTTTCAAAGAGGGAAATTGGGCATTTGGTGTCCTCAAAATATCTAAATTACTCTCAAAGCAAACTGTGACACTAATTTGTGACGTATATATCTCAGAATCTGTAATATAACTTGCATACACGTTGTAATATTTAGCTCAGATTTAACTGTCACTGTGGTCAAAACTGCATGATTATGAAATATCTGTGTTTTGAAATATCTGCTATATACGAGAAAAATTAAATCAAAGGCCAGAGTAAATTCATGTGACCACCTATTATGGTTATGTGCGAAGATAGTTAAGATAAGTTGACAGATGGACATGTTGAATGATGATTTTTGCAAGAAGATGCAATCATTCAATATTTGTATTTATTTTGACAATCGGGAAATGTTTAGCTGAACCAGTTTGACCCTCTGTAGCACCTGTGTTCAGTGTTTTCTCGTTTCAAACAAAGGTGGGTAACGTCAGCGAAACCCTCGGGATGGACGTCAGACTTTACCCACACCTGGCTGACCCAGGGAGCCGCCCTGATAGGTACGGTCAGCGGCATTTTGCTCGCCCTTATTCACCTCCTGTTTTAAGGGATCCTCTCTGAGCAGGGTCTGTTTTATCCACCAGGTGGATGCTGCCGTATCGGTCCTACTCACATCGCGGAATTGAGAAAGCAGTTAAAAGGAACCTCTGCATCTCCGCCCACTGTAGGAAAGTCTTAGTGCTAGTTTTCGGGGTAGCTCTTTACTTAAGTCGTGGGTTCCTTAATGAAAAACTGCAGATAAAAATGTGTGCACACAAAGCCAGATTTTTTTTGTTGTTGCTATATTAGTAAAATTTAAGCTTTTTGCACGGTGCTCTTTGTAAAATAAAATAATTATACAATAGCCCACAAATTCAGATGTATAATCAGTCTCTTTAATAACTACATGGAAGCTATGCTGCAATTGATCATTTAAGCAATAAATAATAAATAGTAATAAAACAACTGTATAAGAGAAGGGAAGCTTAAACAGATCTGAATTAAGGAATGGGGGCTTTGAGGTGTTTTATTATGTAAAAAACTGTGCATTTATTTGGGTATTAAATTTATTTTACAATTACAAACACTTTTGTTTTAAATTATTTGAAAGTTTTGTTCTTGTACCCCTGCTCCTTATATTGTTAGGAAATAAATAAAGGGTGCTTCGCGGTGAAAAGTGTGAGCTGTCATTTTTGAAGGTTTTGAAAACAGTCAGTGGGATATTCAGCCCTTTTTAATGTACTCTGCTCAGTCATTAGATCAGATAAACAATTACAACTTTTAATGTGGATCAGTTTTGTTTCATCTTTAGTGTTTCCCCTGGTTCTAAAAACTTCAGTCAAATGATGTGGATCCAGATTATAAGGGTCCTCAAAGGGTTGAATGCTATTCCAGTGTTTTCCAGTGAACAGTGACTGGGCTGTAATGAGAGTTCCTGATATGTCTAAATAAATGCAAAAAAAACACAGAAATATGGAGAGATTATCTTTTATTTTAAAAAAGAAATCAGATTTTATTGCAAAACAAATAAACAACTACAACAAACCCAAGTAGGTCAAAGAAAAAAGGTTCAAATAAAAGTGTCAAGAGGAGCCTGGGTTTGTACATAAACATGGAAATGCACCGTGTGCTCTTTAGCTTTTTCTCTGGTTCACATTGGAAAGTTTGAGATGGATCATACTGGTACAAACTTTTTTTTTTTTTCCCAAACAACACGGTCAACTACACCACTGTTTCAGGAGGGTTCACAAAGCATGACGAGACTTAGGCTGGATAAAGCACTGTACGCCGACTGTACCGGTGTAATGCGCTATGGAAGTGAGCCAGCTCTGAACAGAAGGCAAAGTAAATGTGCAGTCACTCTGCGCTGTTTAAATCATAAAATAAATTCATAAAATGATTTAAATAAAATAGTAGTAGCAGTGAAGTGTGGCTGTAAAACTTAAGAGCACCTTAACTGCTTCCTATTTACATAAAGGGATGCGAAAAATGACACCTATTAAATGTGATGATCTAAGTCTGACAAAGAAAAAACAAGAACTTGTGTTTGAGTTTGTGGACGGACAGCTTACTGTAGATTTAAAAACTTATTTGTTGTTTTTTTGTGCTGATGCATGTTTGCCCGGTGACGATTTCCTTGCAACATAAAGCCATATATTTCACCTTATTTGTACACATTATCGGAGTGTGTGTTGTGCGTTCCTGCGAAGGTTTGCAGACTTCCTGGTGACTCGGCTTGGCTCATAAAGCTCAGAGTGAAGTTGTCTGGTGAGCATAGGCTAATTTGCTTTGCGTCATTTTGTTTGTTTGTGTTGCATATGTGTCATTTGTACAGGTCCTCTTTGATGCACCCTCGATGTAAGATTATACCGAAACCTCCCACTAGCCGGTTTGACATCTAAGTTAGAGAACCCAAAGTGGCTTTGTATTGCTGAATATGCTGAATTCATCACTTTCTCTCAAACCGCCAAAGACATAAAGACAGAGAAAGAAGGAAAATGCTACAGATGTGACGGATATGGAGGCAAAGTAAAACATTAGTTTAAATACTCGAAAATGGTCTAAATAATGAGCTGAACCAACATGTGATGGTCTTTAGAAACTAAATATTCAGGAAGAAGTCTGGTGATATTTAGTCATTTGGTCAGAAAATCAGCAGAAAAAAAGTGACTAATTGTTTCTTGTTTTGTTTTTCCTTTTACTCCATTTTTCTATAGCTTAAAATAACCTTGAAGCAATGCCCTTTTTATTCCAATGTTGGCTTTACTTAAAGGTAAGCTACAAAAAACCCACCAGAATTCTTCTTTAAATGGCACCGCCTCTGGCCCGTGTCGTAGCTCCTGCTGTGGGGTTCTCTCTCTCCGTGCTCCTGGGAAACCTCTCAGTCTGTGATGTCCTCCTCCAGGTCGCTGTCGGGGGAGCTCCTCTGCCTGTGCTCGCTGCTGTTGGACAGGCGCTTCCAGCTGCCGTCCTTCTGGCTTCCCGTGCTGTGCGAGCGTCCCAGATGGGCCAGCCTCTTGGACGGGGCCTGCTCGGCGTCCTCGCTGGCGTGCGCGCGCTCCGCCCCGGCGTGGTGGAAGTCGTGCCGCAGGTTCTCTAGATTCATGGCCCAGGGGCCGAGCTTCTGCCAGTTCACCCGCTGGAAGGCCATTAAGCAGTGCAGGTTACCGCCCACCTGAGGAGCCACGGGACGGCCTTTTAGTAAAGACACACTAACATCAAACACAACGTCATCACAACTAGCAGTGAGGGGGGATGTGGGGGGGACCTTTTTGGTCTTGCGGCGTTGAATCCCTCTCTCCGTGTGCCGAATGTCCAGGTATTCTGGATTTTGCGTGTTGAGGTCAGTCACGATATCCAGCCATCTGGACAGAGAGGCTCCCCTTAGACGTCGCCACGCAAAGCAGACGACGGTGTACAGCCAAAACTAAACTTACTTTTTACAGTGGATGGCTGGATGCTTTCTGCTGGGTTCACCGATCAGGATCCAGTGCTCCATTTCATTAGTGGGTAGAGGGCCCCTTCAAACAAACAGTCAAATGTTAATGGATAACAACTCAGTAACTCTGGAGACAAAGAGACAAAGGAGCCGGATGCCTTTGAAAATGAGGACATGTGTCCCACCTGTAGGCCTTTGCTGCCTTGAGCGGAGTGGCTTCGAAGCCCACCGGGCAGAAGTAGTGGTTCTGACAGTGGTAAATGTAGGCCATGGACTCATCCCTCAGCCCCTGCGTCAGCTTCATCAGCGCTCCTTCAGCTGCAGAGAGGGGAAAGGTCAGGCGGCGTCCGGGGGCTAAGGCGGGTGCGCCGGACGGTTGAGGAACTCACCCGTCTCTCCGGCCGTTTTGTGTTTTCCGTGCGGTTTGTAGAGGATGTAGGAGCAGCCGCGCACCCGGAAGTTGTCGTTGATTTGTCTGAACCACCTGGGAAAAAAGCAAAAAACGGGAGTGATGAGGACGTTGCTATCGTTTCCTTACGTTGTGCTTTTGAAATGCTAAAGGAGGCGTTCGTGGACCTCATCAGTGTCGCATTTCCAGTGAAGGGACCGAACTTTATTTCTTCAAACGGTGGCTGAAACCCCAGGATGTGCAGAGCCTCCTCCTGAGAGATCGGTGGAAGACTAGGACAGCAAATACACAAACTTTTATCAGCAAACTACGCCCAGACTGTTAAAAAAAAGCCAAGCCAGTGCTTTATAAAATGTGTTCCTGTGCCTGTGACAGGTTTACAAAGTCACAGAGCTTAAAGTGCCGGCTCTTGGAGTGTCTGGAACGTCTCATGGGCAGTTAAGTCAACTTAGAGGCAGATTGGGGCTGGCTTCCAACACAACCGGAAAGCACTGGTGTTTCCGTCTGAGAAACTGGAGAGGCCGTGGCTTACTAGTCTTTTAACGGCGCTGGCCAACGTGTAAACATGAACATTCTCGGTGTTGGCACCAGTCTGGCTTATGTGGGCTAACGCTACTGCTAACTCTGACTGACCTCCAGCAGTTAAAAGGCTGAGAGGCGGAGCGAATCAGAAACCATGGAAACCAGAGATAGCGATTCATATCACGCTATACAAATGTATCAGTTTGAACATTTAATTTCATCATAAGGGGTACATTGAACATCCAAGTCTTTTCTATCCAAGAAGAAGAATGGGCCTTAAAGGGTGAAACAGAAAATGAGTATCAGAACAATTGTTTATTTGTTCCAGTGGCGTCTTTTCAGACCTTCCTAAAAGAGCATGAACTTTTTCATTCCCAGTGGAAATGTTTAGGGTTTAAGCGCATGTGCTGGAAAACCGTTCCAGAACCTCACGTGCAGCACTTTCTCTTAAAATCTGACAGGTGCTAACGTGTGAGGCTTACCTCCCTGCGCCGAGCGTGCTGTACAAGAAGTTCCAGCAAGACACCAAAGAGGAGATCCCGCAAGAAGTTTTATACTGGGGCCGACTAATGCAGTACCTGGAGGAGACATCGCCAGCGTAACACACAGATCACAGACCTGAATTTGGACACTTTAAACGCAGAGGCAGGTGAAAACATGCAAGTGAGTGATGTGTGCCGTTTCTATCCCACCGGGCTTTAAAATGTAGGGATTTCTTGTCTCTAAGCAGGAGGAATCTGACAGCTTGGGTTTTAACTGGCTTTGTCGCTAAATTTAAACGCGTCATCTCCCTGATTGGCTACATGCCCGTCGGGCTGCAACCTGAGGCGTTTTGATCCATTTCAAATCACAGCGAAACTCAAGGTTGACCCTCATTTGCTGAGCAGAGGCTGCTCCTTTTTTATTTGCTGTACTTGGCTGTCCGGGTTTAAAGGGCATGCTGGGATCATTTCAATCCAAGTGTTCCCCGGGAATCTGTCGGCCGTGGGTTTTTCACTCCCCATTCTAGTTGTAGAGATGGAAAAACTGTGATCAACTGAAATCATCGTTTCAATAAAATGTCTAAAGACTTCAAGGAACTGCGTGCAGCAGAAGATACTGGAATTATAAAGCCAATGGCCACCTGAGTATCTAAAATGGGGAAGCTGGGGGGCAATATTCACTCTAGTCATGGTTCGTCCTGAGAAATCCCACAGCTCTACGTCACAATGGGGTAAAGACGGTGAGATGTGAGGTGATGTTACCATCTCCTGAGGTCCAGCACTTTTCTCTGCTTGATCTCCTCCAGAGAGGCATGAGGGGGCCCATCCTGCAGGTTCCGGCTGGGTCTGTCCGAGGACTTCATCTTCTTGGTGCTGGACTTCTTTCCATTGCCTGGTACGAACAGTAGCTTCATCAGGAGTTACACTGTGTTTTACAGGTCAGACAATAGCAAACCAAAGAGAAGCGAGCGGCTCATTTCTTATTATTGCAAAAAACAGGCCTTACTGGTTCTTGTTTTTCTGGTCAACACGGCATTAAAGTCCGTCGTGTCGATCTCCCAGGCCAAGATGGGCTTGGAGTGGCCGGAGGGCGCGTCCTCCATGTCACAGTCCCCGTCTGACCCCACGCCTCCTCCGTCCTGACCGCAGCCGAAGTCCACCGGAGGCTTGGGCTTGGCGAGCGGGTCGCCGTCGTCCTGCGAGCCCCGGTCCGCCTTGGCGGGGCAGTAGACGGAGGCGGCCTGGTTGAGGAGGGCGTAGTCGGAGCAGACCGTGTAGAACTTCTCGCGGGAGTGGGTGACCGGGCAGGTCCACGGCAGGTGGAGCTCCGCGCTCGAGGCGCGCCTCGCGCGCGCCGCGTCCCGCGCAAGGGCGCCGAGGAGACCGTGCTCCCCCTCCCCGTCCGCGGGCCTCTGCTGGCCCGCCGACGCCTCCGTCGTCGCCCCCGGCCGGTTGGCCGCCTGCCCTTCCGACGTATTAGGCATTGGACCGGCGGTCGCTCGACGGGTGACCGAGGCTGGCTTGAGGGGGGGGACGACGAGGAGGCGTTCGTCTCCTCTAGAGATTAAAAGGACCGTCTCCGCGGAGATGAGAGGAAAGATGGAGGTGTAGTGGTAGTAAACACCTCACGCAGAGGATGTTCGAAAAGGTTCGAGACAATATTTGCTCAACGGACTACTTTTTTCAGATTAATTGTTTTTAAATTACAGCAGCAAGGTTAAACACCACACAATATAGCCCCCCCTCCCCAGGCTCGAACACGTCGCTAAATAAGATAAGAGCATACTCTGGCCCTGGATATACGCCTACAACTAGCTGAATTTGTTACGGAATATCTTTTTAAAAAAGCATTACATATCACCTGTGAGGCGACAGCTATCGAGGGGGTTACACTCGCGCTGCCCTGTACTTAGCAGACGTAAACACACCCTGGTGTCATGTTATTTATTTCTATTAATCAATGTCCACGCACTAGACGGGTCTGCAGGGTGGCAAAACGCCAGACTAACTTCTTACTAGTGAAGCTCGGCTATCATTAACTCCTCAATAGACAAATATTAACGATAAAGACCCCGGTCATTCGACAGCCTGACCCGTATCTTCTTCCTGTGATGCTTTATTGGACTGTACTATTCCAAAGGCGTACGGGGGGGGCTAAACGCAAAGAAAGTTATAATAATTATAACCATATAAATAGAGAGCTACTAATTTCGCAGTCAATTAATTCAAGGCGTTTTTCTCTAGTGGACGTGTACTTTACGGTACCAAATGACGTTAATCGTCATTTTACCTTTCATCCAGGTTGGGGTTTGGTCCCTTATTCTAAACCACTCTAAAACGACCCTCCAATTTAAACCAATCACAGGAGCGTCTGCTGTGGTTCTTTTAACTTCACAGACAGAAGGTAAGCCAGTGTAAATAGACTGGAATTCCTACTTCTACTCTTATTCCAGGAAAATAACCATTTAACTTCTTATAGCAATCTTAAAATAAAAAAAGACTAAATGTATGTAGCAATTACAGTATTGTTATTTGATCTAGAGAAGGCTAGTATCTTTTAACAAAATATTTAGTAACTTTGTAACAAACGGGACATAAAGAGCTTTAAAGAAAATTGCATGCAATCAATGAGTCATTTGAGCTCGCACGTCCATTATTTAGGAGACCAAAAGGCGTACCATTGCTAATATGGACATTTTTTATTAGTGAAATCAACTTTGTTTACTCAACAGGGGGTTATAAAGGCAAATAAGAGAAAAAGTTTTAATTTAGGGGCACTGCTGGTCTAGATACAACCTGTGTGGGGTGAACAGAAAATGAGAAATCTAGAGAAAAAGCCTCCAAAGCATCAAGGGAACAGATATTATACGTCCATAACGGTCAGTTTAAGCATTAAGCAGCAGTTCAACCTTTGACTGAAAGCTTTGTAGTGAGTGTCGCAATGAAAATACAGATATTTTCATTGCGACACTCATTCCCAAGAGTTGAACATGAGCTTAGTATTCCGTTTGCTGCGGAAAGCCATGCACTGAACTTAAATCAGGTTATATTTGACATGTACACTGTTGAATTCACTACAGAAAATGTTACTATTACTACTCCAACTATACTTTAGGGCACTCTGTGACCATCTACTGCACACAAGGAGCACAATACTCAACTGGGGTTTGGTGTTTATCAAAAATAATCTCTTTGTAAGTAGTTGTGATTCATGTAATTTCATCTTGTGATCCTCCAAGGGACGACCATGACGGAGAAGCTGGTGATTATCGACACGGACTGTGGCATAGATGACGCCCAGGCCATAATGATGGCCCTGGCAGCTCCTGATGTGGAGATCCTGGGCCTGACGTGCGTGTTTGGAAACACAACGGTGGACAACGTTTGTCAGAACGTTCTGAGGGTGCTCTCCGTCTGTGAGCGTGAGGGGGTGCGTGACCCAATGGGCAGCTGAAGGATTTTGTACCATTTAAAAACACCTCCATAGGTACCTTTTCTTATTCTAACCCCAGATTCCAGTGTTTCGGGGCTCGGCTGGTCCTCTGGTTGGAGTTAGTAATCCAACCAGCGACCACTTTGGAGGGGATGGACTCGGGGATGTGCTGGACGATAAAGACCCCCGGTGGGAGGAGAAGATCCAGAGAGAGCACGCGGTCAGCGTGATGATCAGACTGGCGTCCGAGCACCAGAAGCAGGTCGGGTGCTTGCCCATAGCGGCGTGCGGCTGGTCTCCTTCGTCCTCACATAAATTCTCTCCGCAGGTCTCCTTGGTGGCCCTCGGCCCGCTCACTAATCTGGCACTGGCCCTCAGAATGGATCCAGGTTTCCCCCAAAAGCTCAAAGGCTTGTACATAATGGGGGGCAACATGGAAGGTAATACGACCCGGTCATAACATCTGCGTGGGTTTGAGATGAGCACGTTTGACCCGTTTGCTTTATCACGTCTGCAGGAAAAGGGAATGTGACACTCTGTGCGGAGTTTAACTTTGCCAAGGATCCAGAGTCCGCTTATGTCGTCCTGGAAGAATTCCTCTGCCCTACTTACATCGCGTCGTGGGAGTACGCCTGCAGAAATTCCCTGCCATGGGTAAAGCGCGCACCCGTGAAAAAGCGCATGACCCTGCTCCAATGGGCCGTCACACCCGATTTCTCTCCCGCAGGAGTTCTTCGAGGAGCTGACCAATCAGGATGCCCCGGCGGCACGTTTCATGAAGAGGATAACTTCTAAATGCTGGGCCTACTCCAGCGAGGCTATGGCGAGCAAGAGGGACGTGCACTTTGGGCCCGGCTTCGTCTCGTACGACGCCTACGCAATGGCGGCGTTCATCGACGGCAGCGTGCCGACGGAGAGCGTGGAGTGTGCGGTTCGGGTGGAGCTGCGGGGTTCCGTCACGTGCGGCATGATGGTGTTGGATCGCACAAACTACCTGAAGAAGAGCCACACGGTGTCTGTGCTGACCAAATGTGATACGGCCAAGTTTAGTCGGCTCCTGATGGAGTCCCTCAGGCAACCTCGTAACAAAGTTTGACGATTTCAAAATGAGTATCAGTTGATGGTGTGCCAAGGCACAAGAGCTTTTACTAACCAATCAACAACAGAAAAAAATATGTAAACCATGTAGAAAGAATGGAATAGTAGCAACTATTTTTTAGACTAAATAACCTCACATGAAGATTTTTTTCTTAGTGTCACTGTTTTATGTGTTGTCTGTGAAGTATTTTGCTTGATTAAAAACTGAATATGAGTTTGGAATTGACTGCATTCTGTTTATATTTGCACTGCTGTGTAAAAGTCTTGAGCTTCATGTACTGACTTTTTTTTTCTCCCAAGCAGCCAGGTGTAACTATTATTATTTCTTATAGTCTTCTTAAGAACATGGTTCTCACAAGACACCTTTTTGGACGCCGTTTTCTGCCCAGTTCTTCAACTTGACCATTTTAAGATGGATGTATTAAGTTCCTTTTTGCCCCACCAGTTTGTTTGCTTGGGTGGCCATTAACACCGACATATAACTCATTCACAGCATTTCCTTTACCTAACACACATCTTTAACCTAGTTCCATCAGTATATTAAGTAACGAGCTCCAATTTCTTTAGTCACATCTACAAACAAACCATAGGTAAAACTGTTTGATAAATAAAAAAAACTGCTTTTTTAAAACCAGAGTCCGCAAAGTTATCAGAAAAAAGACACAGAAGCGTTTTGTGTTTTCAAAGTCGTCCAGCAGAGAGCAGCACAGACCTGATGAAGTTACAAGCAGAGCACTGTCAGTTATTTTAGATCATAGTTAAAGTGGGCCTTCTCTTCCCAGGCACATGAATACCACCCATAAGAAAGAAGGAATAACAAGCTGACCAATCACAGAATTAAGGCAGCATCAGTCAGACAAAGACATGAGCTGACTGACAGAATCAGATGAGAGAGATATTTTTGTCAGCCAAACTAAACAGTTTCTGGAATTTTTGTCTTGAGAAAGCTGGTGGAGCAGAAGAGTATGGAAATCTGTCTGCTAAAAGCTCTAAGTGGATAAACAGAAGATAAAAAAAAGAGTTTGCGTCCATCGTAATATGGCAATGAGTACAAAAACAAAGTATTGGGTTACAGCATTCCAGGCAAAAAAAAAAAAAGGAAAAATAATTATGTGCTGTTCTAATTTTAAGACGAAAAGCATCTGCTTTACTTCTTTTACCAGCTGTGGTTCACTCAGGAGGAGGCACATGGCATAGTCTGTAGAAAATGTGTCCTTTCCGAAGAGCTTTCAGACTAAACCAGATAGAAATTAGGTGATCAGAACATCAGGACTTTTTTGGGGTTTTTCAGAGGAGAAAAGTTGCAGCATTAATAAGAGGAGCTGTTAAACATAACAGGACTCCTCCCAAATACACCTAATTATTCATTCCAAAGAAGATAGGCGTGTAGAGTTCTTCGGAAAGTGAAAATATTTTGTGCATGTGCTTGAATCACTTGATATTTTCTTTTACTCAAACAAAACCTGTAGCATCCAGTAAGATTACATAAAACTAAAGCACCATCAGTGATGATCCTACAGAGATTTCTGAGTCAAAAGTAGACATTTCGTGCCCATTCTGTTTTTCAGCTTGTCAATCTGAACTGGCCTGATATTGCTCTTTGGGTGTTTTTGACTTTGTTCTTCCAACTTTACTTTGAATTTAATCTGAATGCACAATATTCTCATCCCAACTTACAAAGGAAGATAAGACAATGGACACTACAAAGTTTTCCAAGTTTAAGAATATCAGATGGAGATTTGAGATATACCAACAAAGTTAAAAAAAGGGGACTAACCAAAAGTGAAAAGAGCTCCAGTTTCAGTTTGTTTAAACGTTTATGACACGTGAAGACAGCTTTGATGAGATAAAACACCAGGAAACCACAATTTTCTGCTGAAAATCTTTATTTAAATCTGCTGACGAATAGAGGCGAGAGAGGTGTACTCAAGCTTGATAGTTGTTTGTTTTCTTTTTTTACCCACAATGATTTCATAAATTTATTCCCACACGTAAGGCTTTTGTAATCACCCCCCTTCAAAAACAACAACAAAAAAAAGGGAACATAAAAGTTCATTTTTTTTGGGGCTGTTTGTGTGGGGAAAAACAAGAATAAATAAAGCCAATTGTCAGATTCTGAAAAAGATCTCTGCTGGCATTTAAAAGCCAAATGCAGCGATCCTTAATATGAATGTGAACGAGACTTCGAAGCAGCTTTTTGGTAGAAACCAAAAAGAACTGAAGCGACGCACGGCTTAAAACAAGATGCCTGTCCCGGCGTTAACACTGAACTTTGGAGATCGTGCGCCAGATTCCAAAGTTTGAGAAAAAAAAAAAAAAAAAAAGAAAGCCGTTGGCTGGGGGTCGCCTGAATTATTTTTTTTTAATTTAGGGCATCCTGTTAAAATACATTTAAATAAAATATAGCATTTCTGGTCGCATGAATTTAAAAAAAAAAGGTCTAAAAGGAAGGCCGGATGAGCTATGCGATGTCCCTTCTATGTTTTTTTTTTTTGTCTTCCTGGTGGGATTCTGATAGTTGGAGAATCTTTACTTAGCATTTGGAGGACCTCTGTTAAGTGCTGTTATTTTTCCTGTTTAATTGCCGGTGTCGGAGGAACTGGGCCAGGGCTTGGAGCTGCGCCTGGTCAGGGTGGGGCCCCAGATGCTCCAGGGGTTGTAGGTCCGGCCCATCTCCGGGGAGACGGGCGCTGGCGGTGGCGGCGGGGCGGGGCTGCTGACCAGGTCGGTCAGCGCCGACGAGCTGGCCGTGGTGGAGAACTGGTGCAGGGTGGGCTCCGCGCTGGTCGACCAGATGGAACTGCTGAACGGCGTGGCCGCTGACCAGACGTTACTGCTGTTGCCTAAGAGTGACTACACACACACAAAAAAACACAACATAGACCAATAAGGAAGTGGTCCAGAACGTGTAAAGGTAAAGTTAGCATCGTAGGTGGACCGTACCGCAGTCGGGGTGGTGGGTGAGCTGGAGCTGCTGGGCCAGGAGTGCAGGGGGTCACTGGTAGGCGTCTCCCAGATGGAGGGGGGGGCCGGGGTGAACTCAGGCCAGCTGGACTGAGGCGCCGACGACTTGATTCCACCGAAAACTAAAAACACGACGCGCACAAGATTTTTCAGCTGTGGAGCTAGTAGCTTTGCTTTTTTGGTTTGCTTGTAAAATAACAACAAACAAACAAAAAAACATTTAAAAAAAAAAAAAAAAAAACAGCCGTCGGATTACCTGTTGTAAGGTTGAAAGTGTTGTTTGGCCCAAAAGCTGAGAAGGAGTTGGCAGAATTGTAGTTTGGACTATGGGCTATGTCCACTGGACTCCACAATCCAGAGCTGTGAGAGGTGAGAGAACAAACATGAGAACAAACGTGAGGCGGACTCAGAATGGGCGTGTTGACTAGGCTTGTCCCGATCAGATATTTGGATCGGTTCGGCCGCCGATATCGTATCGGCCGGCATGAGAAAATGCCGATCCATTTTTTTTTTTTTTTTCAAAATCCGATCCCACACGAGCATTAGCATCTCCTAACCCACAGGTCTGTGTCCCAACCATTAAGTTGTTATAAGAGTAAATCCCTGCTCAACATGAGTCTGACAACTAAGTAAGTAGGCTAGATAACTTTACACTTTAAGGGTCTGATAGACCGTTATAGGTCGGTATTGGATCGGAAGTGAAAAAAGCTGGAATCGGGACATCCCTAGTGTTGACACGCCGCCCGGGTCTACGCGAGTTCTCTGTCTCCCTTCACCTGTCAGAGCTGTCACTCTCCACGGACGTCATGTGTGGCAGGGTCTTGCTTTGGTTGTCCGTTTTAGCTGAACCGGATCCGCCTGAAAAAAGGACAGAAGGGGGGCTTTATAGTAAACAAAGCCTCTGCCTGAACCGGGGCTGAGCGGCGAGCTCCTGGCAGTGAGGGACTCACCTGGGCTTTTGTCGTAGCCTGCAGCCACGGCCGCAAAGGTGGGGTTGCCGTTTTTACCCGGGAGGGGGGTCCCCGAGGACAGTTTGTTACCCGGGGCCTTTTTCTGGTTGATCTCACTGTAAAAAAACAAAAAACAAACGTGTATAAGTGAGCGTGCAGTTAAACCTCAGCGTGGGAGAGGGAAAAAAACTATCTCTGGGACGCTACAAAAGCCCTTCCTAAGGCCTGCCGTCTTCTGGCCATCCAATGCTATAACATCAAGAAAGCAAAAAAGAACACAAAAGACAAAAACAAAACGATGGGATACATCCGAATGTGCTGTTTCAAGGGTGTCCAGAGACACTTTTTCACTGGTCAGAGGGCACTTCCAAAACAGTTAAACTATTTTTGCCTTTGTTTATTTTGGTGGGTTTCTAATAGTTTCTATTCAGGTCCCCCCCGGGGTATTTTGTGATTTTTACCTTCAAATATGAAAGCTAGAACCTTTAAACCTATGAGCTCTACCCCCAATTGTTATTAAAAAAACTAAAAACAAAAAAAAAACGCCTCTTGCATCCAAATTAAAACGACTAACTTCTGAAATGCTCTAATGCGTGAGTCCTAAGCCAGAGAGACAACTCTCTGTAGTTTGTTGTGAAACTTTTATAAACATACATGGACACAAACACAATGAAAGTATAAAAAAAATCTATAAAAAAAATACAACACTTTAGTCCACAAAAAAAAGATGCATGTATCTGTAAATCACAAATTTAAATCACAAATGCTCTTGTGGAAAAAACAAAACAAAAAGATAAACGGAAACCTTTTGCGTTTTTGCAAAGTCCACAGAATCCTACGAGACCACATATGGTCTGTTTTTATGACATATGTGAGACACTATTTGATGGAATGGGCGAAGAAGGAGGGCGCGTTGTGTTTGAGGGCGTGGATACCTGTTACTGTTGAGCACGCTGCTGTAGGAGCCCCGGGACAGAAGGCTGGGGGAGGTCGGGGGAGGGGAGTAAGTCCGGGCTGTGGCCGATCTCTTCAGGAAACGATCTGCGTTTAAGGTCTGGAGGGCAATCTGCTGAAGGCTATCTTCCTCTGTGAAAGACGAAAGACAAATAAAATAAATTTAAAAAACCCCCTGTGGTGAATCTGGAACGTGGAGCGTGCGTTTGGCGTGGAGGCGGGACTTACGAACGCTGTTTTTGGAAAGCGGTACGTCCCACTCGGGGGACGCGCACTCCTTCTCGCCCTCCGAGCTGCTGCTGTGGCCGGGCTCTGGCGCCGAGGAGCTGGACAACAGTTTGGCCAGCTTGCTGTCTGCTGCCAAAACGAGCACACGCGTCTCACACACACACACAGAAACACACACACCTGGTGCAGGGGTGAACTGCACCGTGATGGCGGCTGCATTTAGAAAAACTCACATCTGGGTTTCTGCAGGGGCCTCGCCTGGGGGATGCTGCTTAGGGAGGGCGGAAAAGCTTTGGACACAAAGCTTATCCTCTGTTTGTTCTCCTGCGGTACGTATGGCAGCTCCAGAGAACTGAAAAGGACAAATTTCGGGTCACAAAGAGAGACGGGGACGGGTACTGAAAGCTGCCGGATTGAGCCGGGATTAAAACAAACCTGGACTTCTCGGTGAGGTTCTCTTTCTTCTTCTCTTCTCTTTTCTTTGTTTTGGGTTTGATCTGGAAAGTGGAAGCTTCCTCTTTCACCTTTCCGGGAAGCACCGTCCTCTCTTTCTTTTTGACCGGTTCCTGTAAGAGTTGAAGCACATCTTGAGCACACGATGCGAAGAGAGCAGACGATGGGGGCGGCTTGATTTTCGCGTCTCAGCGTGCCTCTTTTACGTTGGTCTCCATGTCCGGGTTGGACGTCTCTGTGGTGGTGGAGGAGCTGTCGTCGTTGTCGGCCAGGTTCTCTTTGAGCTCGTCTCCCTGAGTCTTCGCCGTGGATTTCTTCTCTTTTTCCTCCTTCTTCCTCTGGGTTTTTGTTTTCGTCCGCAGCTTCGCTTTGGAATCGAACACTGAAAACGACATCCGCGCACAACCTGGTAAAGATGCTAGAGTAATCCCCCTTCCCTTTTTTTTTTCTCTTTTTCTCAATACAGACACGGGTACCTTTGTTTTGTATGGACTGGGAGCTCTGCTCTGGCAGAGCGTCGGCACTAAGCGACTCTGGACGCTCTAGGTCGTTGTCCATGGCTCCTATCAGGTTGGCGTAATCTGGATCCTCGGGGCACAGGCCTCGGTTAGCCGGCGATGGCCCCTGTAGACTGGAACTTTGTTCCAGCTGTTTGGTGCTCCGGGACTTCCTGTTTGTGAGCTGGCAGGAGGCTGGTGGAGCCTCTTGGCCCGGTGATGAACTTCCCTTGGCCGGCTGAGAGGAAGCAGCTTGCATAGATGGGCGGTTGAACGGGACCCTGCTCCTCTTGTCTTGGCCGTCCGAGTCCGACAGGGTGCGGCTGCCGCCCTGCCGGCCTCCGCCTCGCGCCGTGCCGTTGCTGGATGCGTAAAGTCCTCTGGAGCTCTGGGCCGGCTCGCTGTAGTCGTTCAGCCTGGGGTGGGAGAGACCAATCTGTTTCGGCTGCTCTGACACACTTTCTGTCCCCTAAACCAACCGCATCTGACATTTGACCCAGAAACTAAGAGGTGACTTCACAGCCAACAGTAAAAAAACTTTAGAAAAATTAAAGTCTTTGTCTTCCCTCTGTTTTAGGTTGCAGAAAACAACAGCCTCCTGTCTAGTTTCTATCAACAAATTAGAGATAACCGAACAGCTCAGCATGACAACAGTCATCTGTGCAGGTAGCAGACTGAAAGAGAATATTTGAATCACCCCAATAAAGCTTTGCACTGAGCTCCTTCGTTCAGATTAAACTATGCAAACTGTATGAGTGGAAGGAGATATGGGGGAATGAGCGGTTACCGCACCAGATATGGTCAAAGTGTGTGGACAGGTGTTGGCCACAATCCAACGAGTGTGCGAGAGCATTTTTAACGCACCAGCATTTAGGTTAGTTTAAAAAAAACTATCACGGTAAAGCGGTGATGCAAGGTGCTTTTTCAAAAAATAGATCTGGCTTTGAAAGCATTACACCAATACCATAGATCTAGGGTTGAATTTAGCTAGTTATGAATATAAAGGTCTGGGCAGGAAGTGTTTCTTTGATGGATCAGTGCTCCATAAGGGCATTTCCAAATCCACCTTGAACTCATTTAAAAGATATCAAGCATCTTCTTTGTGTACCGACATGCACCTAAAAAAGTCAACGTTTCTTTTGTGTCTGCTTTCTGCAGATATCATTTTTCCAAAAACAAAGACAAAAATGTTACACTTACTTTGAATCACTGTGAATTTGCACAATATCCCTGAGGTTAAAGGGCCTCCCGGTCTCCAAACTGGAGTTGGACTCTACTGACACGCGTCTTTTGAAAGGCTCCCATATGCTCTGCGCCTCCAGGTAGGCGGTGGCAATCACCAGCAAAAACATGGAGCTGTATTTGAAAAATAAATAGATAAATAAATGCTGAGGCGCTTCGATGCTTCTGGGGGCGGCATCTTAGCGTCTTGCGTCCCACTCGCCTCATGATGACCGACACTATGATGTAGAGCTCCAGCTCCCAGCTTGGTCTGGGTAGGGTCTCTGCGCATGAGGCCAGCATATGGTAGGGCAGCGACGCGTTCAGGACGAACACAAACTCCGAGCCCCCATGTGTCACCAGCTTGAGCTCCCGGATAACTCTGGATGAGGTGAAGTCGGGTGTAAACCTGAGCGGAAAAAAACAAAACAAAAACAAAAACAAATACAGATCACTGAGCTGCCTCTGGAATCCATCAGATTGCTAATTGACAAGATAAAGTCTACGATGTATTTACAAGTATTAGGATGAATTTGTTGGACTAAAAGATATTTAAAAAAATTAAGAAATGGATAAAGAAATATTTTGTTTGTTTTTGAGGACAAGTTAGACGACCAACCTACTACTGTTAAAATCTACACACCTAAAATGAGTCATGCATCTAGGACAACAATCACAGAATTCCATTCGGATGTGTTGAGTCACTGAAAGCCACACCTAAAATCCAGGGATGATTCATTCTTAGAAATAATTTCTCATCTAAATAAAAGGGTTGAAAGCTAAATAAAGAAACCCTTTAATAGGGAAAAAGAATGATTTAAAGCTGTCACTCATTCAAATCTGTACACCATATTTCTCATTGTATTTTTGGGACAAATTCTTTACACCCAGTCCAGTCAGGCACAGTGTACATACAGCTGTACTAATACTATTGTAATATATTTAAACTTCTTCTTGTGTAAGGGTCAGCACAAACCCGTTTATTTAGGTTTAACTGTAGAGGTTAAGGAGCCTCCTCTCAAACTTTATCAGAACAAACTTTTCTTGTTGTTGTTAGATCAGATCTAGTTTCTGAAAAAAATCATCACATAGCCCTGTGCATAAGTTTTTAAAAAAATGTTTGCTTCAGAAAGCTGAATCGACCTACGCGTGGCCTGCTAAGCTCACGCGCACAACCGTGCACAGATAAACACAAGGAGATGGAAATGGATAAGATTTTGCCGATACTATTGCCCTTACCGCTGTTTCTAGTTCACCCAGTTCTTTATCGAGTCCCATTAAAAAAAAACAAAATCATGTTCCAGCTTGAACAGATCTGCTTACTATCTGAAATCCAAATAAATTCTGCGATATAGAGTCTGTCCCTTCTAGGCAGACAATGTGAATAAAACAATAAACTTATTAGAATAACATATTGCGCATTCTTAAAGTTGATCATTGTAGATCATTTTGAGGAAAGGGTGCAAAGGGTGAAAGCCTTTCACAGGCTTGAAGGTGTCATCAACTGGGATACTGTCTTCTTCATTTAGGCTTTTATAGTCAGAGTTTCCTGTTTTTACACCACAAGATCAGACGTTTTTCTCCTTTTTTTCTCTCGTGGCATATCTAAATGCAGACTGTTGAACAAGGCTTCTGTGATGATTCAATTTCGTGTCATCAGAAAATTTTAGAACCAGTTCTCCATTCCCATTCCAACGCACGTTGAAACTGGCCTCAGCTCAAAGAAAAAAAAGAAGCAAAAGTTAAAACGCAGACGTTTGACAACTTACAGTATGATGAGGTCTTTTGAAGCGTTTGGCTTCAGTGCAAACTCTTGACAGTTGAGAACTTTGAATCCATATCCTTCACAAGCTTGCCCGTTGATTACTGCCGACCTGATGGTGATGGGGAGCAGCCCAGTGTTCTCTACCCTGAAGGTCCGTTTGAGAGTGAAGTTTGGCTCTTTGATTTTTATTTCTGAAACAAACAGCAGGGGAGATTGGGATAATGACTTATGGGTTCATTAGTTAATACGGGGTGGTCTGCAAAAGCCCTACTAAAGTAATGGTTCAGTTTAGCTCCTGTCTATACAAGGCCCTCTTCCTGACTGGCTTAGTCTATTCTGATTGGTCTGATAAAAGGTGTGGTGGCGAGAGCCGGCTGCTTTATTATTTGTCAGAGAACTAGCTAAACTGGCCACGTGGCATGTATCATTCAAACCTTTACCTCAGTAATTTCACGGACTACAAACAAGGCGTCGCATGGGCAGAGAGACTCCTTCTTTTCTAACTTCATAAGAACATAAGCAACTGCCTCCCTTCATGGTGTAATTGTTCACATAACTGTCGGTGAAGAACACCTGTGACCGTAGAGTTTCACTGTGGGACAAATAAACAGTTTAGACAAGAACTTCTGCAGATGATAGTTTAGGCCCCAGGAACAACTGTGTGTCATCTCAATTTTTGCACTCTGAGGGTGTGTAAATCTAACACTCCAAACAAACACAGGTGACACCCATCATAAAACAAAGGAGTCTGAGAATAGCAGAGAACAAAGCCTACACAGTCAAACAGATTCAGCGTCAATAAACACATCAGTGTGCTTGATTTGATTGATTTATAATTGTATAATGACTGCCGCTAACTGTTCATTTTAGCATTTTACGCTTGTGCAAGTTTTTTTTTGCCGTTCCAGCGTGAAAATTGCATGCTTAAAGATTAAAACTCCAAATAAGCCAACTTTTGGTATCAAATTAAAGCTACCATGTCATTCATCAGAAGTGGAAGCATCACAATGTCTTAAAGTAACTCAGGATGGACCACGGACAAAAAAAAAAAAAGAATTATATCGATACAAGGTATTGTCTCAATTCTCATTACATAGAACAGTATGAAAATCTTCCATGGTCCAATTTGTATAATTGATCCCACGTTCTTGTTCAATGTTAGTATGATTCAACAGAATCATACGACCATTGCCTCATTTGTGTCAAACCCACCAATCAAAAGGCAAAGAAAAAACCCCACCATGACTGACACTAACCTTTGTCCAATTGGATTTCACTAACAGACAGAAATGCCAATTACACAATACAAAACTCTCAGGAGCTTCCTAGAGAACAGAGTTGTTTACATTTGGATTTATATTTTGGAGGCAAGGCAGAAAAGGTAAGATATGAAATGTTTTGCTTAAAGAATAGTTTAGGTTTTCTGGTTCAGTGAATCCTGGGTATGGTCCGATTAAACTTGCTGTTTTGGAATCACTGGGAACTCTATTTTCAGAAGAGAGGTTATTTGCCTGTCTGTGTGCTTGTTTCCGATTAGCTGATCCCTTTTTTTGCGTACATGTTCTTTTGCTAGATTTGTTTACCTGCTGAGTGTTTATTCTTACAGATGTCTTTGGTGGTTGTCGAACAGGTTTTAGAAACTTTAAGCATTTCAGACATTTCTGTGGATACCAAATTCGGCTGTATATAAGTATTTTGAAAGGGGTTTTAAGATGCAATCATATTTTCAATTTGTCCCCCATATTGGTTAGTTGTTGTACATTTGAGCAAAAACTCACTCTCTGTGCAGTCTTTTAGCAGGGCTTCAGTCATCTTAAACCTCAGCGAGCTGCCCAGTCCTGGGGGCTTTCCTGCAACTTTCAGGCTCTCCGTTGTACCTTGTCCATGAAGCACGATGGTGTCGATCACAGTCAGGTTATTCCTAAAATGAATTCCAAAAATCAGGCACGCAAACTCAGAAAGATGGAACGCTTGTGCTATGAAAGCTGCTGGAAGATGGAAGCGTTACCTGACTATCAGGAGGGAGGAGACGCTGCGGTTTCCGAGAGGAGTGAACCTCACGCTGAAAGTCTTGACCTCTCCGGGCAGGAGGAGGAGGTTGTACACAAAGGGTCTAGTTGAGCCCTCGACAAACCCTGTACTGGTCCTAATTAGAGAGGTCTGCCGAGCAAACAAAGCAAACAAAGCACCGTGTTAGCAACTAACAGCTTTCACATGCTGCCCCAGACATGGACAACAGGGCAGATTTTTTGAAACATGGAAATTAATAATGGGAAACCGCGAATGCTCACTTGATTTCTGTGGACCTGGAATTCAAAGGTGTTGGTATCAATGTTGATATTGGACAAATTTCCTAACGGCAGCCTGAAAAGAAAAAAAATCAAACAAGAAAAGGTGAATGTCCAAGCTAGATAAAGACTTAGACCATAAATCAAGATTTTTTTTTCATATTTATTTTCACCTGTCTGCCAGTTTTCCAGAAAACACAGAGGGGTTGGGTAGCAGCGCCAAGGGGAGAACCTGGACATAGACAGGGACGTCTGCAGGGTTCTGCAGAATCACCTCTTCCTCCTAAACAGAAACAGAAACATGTCCTTCAGTTTGGAATCCAGTTAAATGTAGTCCGATGCGTTTGTGTGTGCGCGTGTCAGAAGGTTTGTACTCACAGAGGAGCTGTTTGTGTTGGTCAGGGGAAATGTAATGTGCTGTGAAGAGTTGACGAGTGAAGGCCACGTCAAATGTGCTGTTATTTTAGCTTGCACGTTTTTCTGGAGGTCGGTGTTTACTTCAAAGACAGCTTCGATTCTTTGGAGAGGATGACAAAAAGGTTTAAAAAACAAAAAAGGAAAAAAAAAATCAAACGGCAACCAATTTAACACTTTTCATTCAAGAGTGCTGAATCTTTTCTATGCTTACTTGTGTCCCGACTGCTCTTTAAGCTCCTTCCATCGTCTGAGGAGCTTTTCATGTAAGTCTACATCAGCATCCCAGATGTCCTCCTGTAAAGCGAGTCCATGGGGTTTGGATTCAACTTTTGGAGAAATAATAAAAAAAGGGTAAATGAAAATCCAAAATCCCAGTTTAACATTTTAAATCGTCTGGTAACCGAGCTCAACGGACTGACAGCGTTGTACTGTTGTATGGTTATGGAGATTGTCTTTAAGACATTTGTTCTTTGTTTGTGAACAGGTGTGCTCGCCATCGCTATCGCAAAAGTATGTACAAAAAAAATCTATTCAAAATTCAAATTCAAAATTCCTTTAGAAAAAGCATTTCAATCACATATGAATTTAATGACAGCAAAGGAGGTGGAACTAAAACTATACTGTGCATGAAAAAAAAAGAAGGAAAAAAAGCGCTTTAGAAAAGGAAAGAGTAACCGAGGAGTCATTCTATGAATCGTGGATCAATTTTAGAAAAGGGGTGCTGAGTTTCAAATTTAGGAGACTTGAAATATTCCAAATATTCCAAGGGACACAGCTGGTTTTGAAGCCCTCAAAGTGGACTGTATCAAAATGACACCAATGATTCTGTCATGAAAATCACTGAAGGGGTTCAGGATCAATGCCATAAATTACTATTACTACTAAGCAAAAAGTGTCTAGTAAATCCATAAACATAAACTATGTTATGACCATGTATATATTACTGTGTGGCATTCAATGGTCAACAAATGATAATGCTAGAATTCTGTTTTTCTTGGTTCATCAGTTGCTTTAGCAACTCTAAGAAAAAAAATGTTTCAACCCAAAATACCAAAAAACTAAACTAAAACTAAAAACTAGCAAGTGGCTTCAAATAATCAGCAAATTTCCCAGCAGACTCCAGTCAGACAATTCAGGAGAAGGGACACTATATCTCTTTAAAATGAATCAGTTTCTCTCTAGGAGAAGTTTGTATAATACAAAAGTGAGCCAATTTCCCATGGGGTCGGCAGGGGGAGGGGGTGAATAATGATCCAGATCATTACCAACAACCACTGCAGGTGATGGAAAAATAATCCCAACAGTAGTTTCAAAAGTGTGAGATTAGAACAGCAAACACACGCGCACATGCTCGCGGGCACAGTCAAATCAAACAAAATTTGAAATAAAACCCCCAAAAAACTTACATTTAAGCACAAATGGCAGGCCCACATAACAGTGATCACCACACTGCAAGCCGGCGTCAAAATAAATATTTGCCACCTGAAAAACATGGAGAAATTAAAATAAGTTTATGTCTGTGGAGACAAACCTGTCTCCCCACCTCCTCCGGATTAACAAAAATAAAAAGAGAAAAAAAAAGAAGAGAGAAAAAAAAAAAAAGAAGGATATTCTACCTTTGATTTTCGTCTGGGCTCCAGCTCATCTTTGTTATTGCGCAGTCGCTTGTAGTAAAAGCGAATGTCCTCCGTCAGGGAGCGGATCTGCTGCAGCCTTACTTTCTGTGTGAAAGAGCTCTGGATGCTGAAGCTTTGATGAACAACTTTTCCCTGTGGGGGATTAAAAAAAAAACAGGAACCATATTGAATCTCTAGTGCTCAACAGACGGGACGGGTTTTACATTCCAACAAGCGCAGACCGGTCGGTCATCGTGAGCCTTACTTACTGGAAACGAAGGTGGCAAAACAATGTGTTTGGGGGAGCTGTTTAAAATTCCCACCGCAATCACAGCTTTCACGGGGATGGTTAATATCTGTGAGCGTGAAAAGGTCAGTCAAGTCAAAAGAGCGTGCGACTGAAAGCGAGATGCCTTTTTATCTTCCCCAAAACCCCATAATACCTCATAATCTGTTGTAAGGTGTATGGCTCCATCGTATGTGCCCTCCAGGGCCTGGGCCACTAATGTCACCCTGAACGCCGCGTAGTAGCCCGATGCCAATATTACCTGAGGAGACAAAAATGATGATGTCATTTTTAGCGTTTTGTTTTTGACCCCACATTGGTTGGCCAAAGCAAAATGGTTACAGATTTTTAAAAAGAAGCAGTTCTCATTTAAAGTTTGAGGCATTTTCACAATGGAACACTTTAAATTCTGCTTGTCAGGGCTTTATTAGCATAAAGAAACCACTCCAGTGCCTATGCTTCCTGAAAGGATTTCTCTATTTCACACATAAAAACACAAGAATTTTTTTCTTTCTTTCTTTCTTTTTTTAAACATTGCATCATTGTGAAACTTGCAAACTTAACCCTTAATGGAGAACAAATATTAACACGCCCAAAATGACGTCATTCATGATTAGTTTTACCACAGAAAAACTGACCACAATGCGCTCATCATGTTTCTATGGTTAAGACTCGATGTTTGAATGTGCATAATCTATTCTTTCAATCTTTACAATGGGATTTATAGTAAAAAAAAAAAAAAAAGAAGATAGTGTTTTTAGCCATCGCACAAACCACAGCTAGCGAGGCCTTTCTGTTTCCATTTTAAGAGCTCTCCATCTCCAAGATAATCAGTAACATAAATAGTAGCATAACAGAGGGGCTGCTAGCAGTGACAGGAAGGAATATTTTTAACCTCGGCTTTCTTTCTTTCTTTTCCATGTTATCTGCTTAAAAAGGCCACTTTCTGATTACTACAATGACGGATAACATGTTAAAAAATAACTCAGTTAAAACCTCATCTGTTGCAAAAACAATGTAGTATGGGAGATTAAAAAGTAACATTTTAATTTAGGCTTTAAAGGCACCGCTCTCCAGGCAATTTCCATTCTATCTTTTATTGCTTTGGTCCATTTCTCTTCACAGAAACCTTCTCTTGTTACCGACCCCCAATAAAAGCGCTCTTCAAAATGAGCAAAACATTTCAATAACCCTTCATAAAAACCAACAAAACCCCTATAAACATTATTTCTGATAGTTATGTTGGCTAGGTCCTCACAAAAGCCAAATATGAACTGTCTCAGAGGTGTTGTATTTATCCCAAAACCTGCTCCAGTGATACCTTTATTACCGCCCTGGTCATATGACACTGTGGCAAGTTTACCGTTTTGTGATGCAATGCCGACGTGTCCTGCAGCTCGTGCAGGTGGCTGAGGGCGATTGTTGCGTTTCCTTTCTCTGTCTTTAACAGCTCCATGGAGAGACTGTCTCCTGTGAGAAGCCAGGACTTTATCTCAAGCTGGCGGACAGAAATGACAATACTGTATCAGTCTCTCTGGGCAAGAAGTCTGTTTGTCCTCTTGCTTTACTTGTATTCAGAATTGCCCCACAACTTTATCAGCACCCACTGTGGAATTGAGGAGTTAGCGTTAAAGGCTTGTGTTGCAACAGATTAAGTTATGCCCAAAATATTGAAAGGCATAACCAAGCATACTCAAAAGACTGTTTAAACATGCCTTACACAACAGTGCAAACAGCATATTGGGCAATGAAAACAAGCATAACATTGGGGCTTGCACGAAGGGACTTTAAAAAAAAAAAAAAAAAAAGAAAAAACATAGCAACCATTACGTCATCATCAGCTCTTGAGGCTTCTCACCTCTATGGGGTTACTGTTGACCACCACAAATATGATGCTACTGGTGTCCGTTGCGCTGCGGACACCAAAGTCCAAAAGGTTCTCCTTTAGACTGGGGGGCAATACCAGGGGCTATTAACGTCAGAAAAGATACAGTATCATTAGAAATGATCTGACCAAATTAACCGGCACAATTAAAGGTGAGGAGATAGCAATGAGTCAAGCCAGACAGTTTGCCAGTGAATGTAATGAATGTAGCTTTCATAGATTTAAAAAAAAAAAAAAAAGAATCACCCTATATTTGGTTCATTTTGAACTTCCTCATTTCAAACTGCCGGCTTCAAAAAGTGATGTTTGCTTTGAGCTGTTTGAAGCCCACTTTCTTCAAACTAACAATCTTCAGGAGGCCTGAAAAAGGAAAGTGTACGCTTTTTGTGTGTTCTTTTGGAGTGAGGGCCCCAGAAGGAAGCCTTGAAATTTTCTAAGAATCAAACTTTTTGTTCTGAATAGGAAATGGCAATCCCTTTTGTAAATGTACAGATCAAATATGATCTGCAGAGTGAACAAGGGTTCATCTTATCTTATTTATCAGATTGACCGCTTTCAGCCATGTTCTGGCATTTCAATCAGTCTTTGCTTGAATGTCTGAGAACATCTATAGATTTTCATTTACAACAGCAAAGGCAATCTCGCTCTCCATTCACCGCTGCGGGACATTTGTGAAAAGCTGAGAATCACAGACGCAAATCAGACACGTATCCAAACTCATTTATGGCCAATAGACTAGGCTGAACCTCAGGGACATCCATTCTTCAGAAATTATTTTTACCTATGGTAATATAAGGACTCTGATAGAATACTAAGCAACATTGCTATCTTTTGTGATTCTTTCTTCTTATTTGCATCAAACCGCCACCAAAGACAACCTAGTGCGACCACATACATTTATTTATTGTATGTTTTTTTCTAAATGCATTTCTTAATGACTAGATACTTCCTATTAACTATCAAATCTCAAAGTTTTGACAGTACCTGTAAGAATCCTGTGTATGCCCGAACAGGCAGGTGAAACTTTGATGCATTTGTGAGGAGCAATATATTGCTGTCTATGTGAATGGATGGTCGGACTGCCCTAAAAAGGAGGGAGAAGATGTAACGGGACTCGTGGGGAGGGATGAGGATCGGCATGCTGAAGTTCTGCACCTACAGGAGAGCACAAAAAACAGTCAATCACAACAAGATTTTTTTTAAAGTTTGCCCCATAAACAGTGGTTACACAGTCCGCCTGATATTTACATTGAACATAGTTTTGGCCTCTTCGGGCAGCGTCACATTGTGTATCCGGATTGCGAAGCTGAAGGAGTTTGTGAGAAAAATGGGCCTCTCAACTGGGTCCACAGGGCTGTCCCTGATGTGGAACAAAGTAGCTGTGTGGTCAAAGCCCAGGTAGCTGCCAGAAGAAAAGAACACAAGGCTGATTCAATCTTTAAAAAATGAATAACCAACTAGAAGTTTTCTTTTTCCTTTCAATGAACACAAATAAAGTCACTCACCCATCTAAAACCTCTGCCTGGTATGGGATTTCAAGCTTCGAGTAACTCTTCTCTTTTGCTTTAACTGTTATTTTACCAGAGAACTGATATGGTCTTCTGGCTTTTGAGGCTGCAATTATATAAAGGGGGGAGGGGGAATTATGAGTAGATAAAGCCCAAAAAGAGGAAGTAGTGCAACAGAAAAATATTGTTTTGAACAAGCAATGCATATGTCATATAAAAACTACGAAACAATATAAAAAATATATAAAGACAATTTATATATATACATATATAAAACAATATAAAGACCTTAATAACATCTATTCAGGTCATGTATTTGACCACCAGTGAAAAGGAAACTGATGTCATGCTCTGTGCGTCCTTCTGCAGAGCTGGTGTTTGGTGGAACTGGAGCATGCAGCTGATTCAAAGTAAGCCACTAAAACAGATGGGCTCATGATAACTGCAACTACATTTCCTTCTTCCGCCTAGATTTAAAGATGTGTTTATCCACCAAAAAAAAACAAAAATGGACTCACCATCAAAACTAATACTTGCTACTTTGGTATATCTACTCTCTCCAGCTTTGAGAGTAACTGCTTTGAAGTCTATTGTAACAGCTTCGTTCGCTGGTGTCGAGCGCACACTCTGAAAAGCACAAATCAAAGCTCGGATCGCTTATTGGTCTTACAGAAAAACGTATTTTTCTCATTCTTAATAGTGTCGAAGATACCCACTGTGACTGGAACGTCTTTTGCTCCTGAATTTAAAAGATGCAAATTCAGCAGCTTTGGCCGATCTGGAACACAACGAGGTTGAGAAAGAACAGGAAGGTGGTTAGAGGGGGTCACATCAGAATCGCTGTAAAGTAAGGAGAATCATTCCCTTTTTTGCTCTTTAAAGAACGGCCATACCTTGTGATCGAAGTGTACCAAAGTCAAGCATCTCTGTAGAGGAGTATATACCAGGGGCTGAAAGCCATTAAAAAAAATAAAGAAATAAAGAGAGTTGAACTAAATGTACTTTATGTGGGTTTTCAATAAGAGACGCAGAAATATCACTGAGTTCTTAAAAAGCGCACCGGATGTGACCTCCACCTCCACAGGGAGGATGATGAACTGATCCTCGTTGGGAGCGTTGGTTTTGATTCTGATGAAGGCCGTGTGGTTGTCTGCGTCTCTCGAGGAGAAGCTGGCTCTCATCACCCCCTTCGTCTCGAACGGAGGGATCTCCTAGAAGATGGAGGTCAGGGATGATAATGGTCTTTACCTGCTCGTCCCCATCGTGAAGCAGACTTCGGGCAAATGAGGGACCGTAAAAGAGCCACTCACCCATAATTTCCCAGTGCCTCCCTGTTGGCCCGTGGGGAGCTCTAAATGCAGATCCCCACCACTGGAGTACATCTCCACAACCTGGAGTGGAAACGGTAGGAAACGGTCATCAACACAAACTGTGTAGGTGTACAGCATGCGGTACAGGGAGTTGTTTCTTTAACTCACCTGCAGTGGTTCGCTGTAAGGGTTGTGGATGTTTATTAGAGGGGAGAAGCTGCTATTTACTGGGACTCGGGCCCCGATGAAGGGCCGCAGTCTGTAGGGGTTTGGGACGCCGACCCCGAAAACCTTCAGGGAAGACATTTAAGAGCAGCTTAAACCTATCGGTCTGGCATTTGAAAGCAAAAGGAGAAAAAAAAAGCTGACACTCATCAGAAGCTGGAGTGTATACTCATTTTGTACCTGGTATGTAAACACTCCATGATGTGACGTATTAATAAATAAAGTGTTTTCTACATTCCCAACTACACGAGCAAGAAACACCACATCGAACGATGTGTTTCCTCCTGGTGGAATTATCTGTCAAAAAGGGAGACAAGAAAGAATTGCGCACATATTATTAACAGTGCAACAAATGTCTTTATCCACTTGCTGGACGAACAACCAACAAAGATCTTAACATTCACTTTAAAAAAAACATGGTCTAAGGGGTCCGCTGGAAAGAAAACATGACGGCTATACGCCAACTTTAACATTTTGGTGAAGGCTGCGCTTTTAGCTAGTGATCACCCAGGAGTTTTAGCAGCAGATTCCCCAGAACTGCTCTGAGATGCATTTATAGCAACATTATCAATACGCAGAGGAAGTGTTCTCAGGAAGCATTGTGCCATCTATGCTTAAGGACTAGGTAGTTACTAAGACACACTTTATAGCTCACACACACTCACCCAAAAAAATAAAAAGTGACTCACCACCTGATTTTTTTTTTTTTTAGGGAATAATCAAGAGCTGTCTTGCTGGTTATGTCAAAGTTAAGGTGCATTATGTCGAAAAATTAATTTAATACCTGAACGTACTGGATGACTGTTTTTTTCTTGTTTTTTTTCTTAAGTCATTACATTGGAATTTCCCAAGATGGTAATCGTTGGGCTCAGACTATGAGTCCAAAGATCTATTTAAAAAAAAAATCTTTTAAAAATCAATGTAAAGAAACAGCAACAAGAAAGCAACATTGCTTTCCTCGTGTAACGCTCAATTACTTCTTACATCCGTCTATCAGTTTGCATATGTTGTTTGCAAATGTCAGAAAACAGGGCAAAAATATCTTCGGTTACTACCAATAGTTTGACCAGAGGTCCAAAATCCAAAGATATTCTTTTTACCAGCATTTGTTACAAAACGTAAAATCAATTCATTAAAGAAAAATCCTGATATTTGCTAGAAAAAACATGCTGACTTGTAAGTTGTATGCAGATGAATGAGCTGTTGATTACCTCTATGATTTCATGGCAAACCCTGGGGAAAATAATAATTAAACCACGGTTGCTGCTATAGCCGCGAGCTTTTAGTGGCTGCTACAATCCTCTACACCTGAGGCACATTCTGTTCCCACCATAGACACCTTCTACGTGACAACCTTTCACCTAAAAATCCTTCACAGCCCGGTGTCCCTTAAATCAATACACTGTGCCAACAGGGAGACCTCAGAACAGCCCGATTTTAAAAGAAATGTGCAGCACAGAGCCTTTGAAATAAGATATGGGCAGAGTAAATAAAGAGTAAATGGACAGACAACAGTCACTATAGTGAGGAAGTTCACATCTTAAACCGCATTATTAACAAAGTATCCATCTATTTAACAAGGTGGAATCGAATTAACTGGCAAGGCTCAACCTTTTACAAGTAGAATTGCTAATCTGTCTGAGTCCAGTGAGCAGCGGTTATGATGATGTGCATAGAAACAATAGGACTAGAACATTTAAAAGAACATCCTGTAACACTCATTATCCTGTAAAGAGATGTCCTCCGGCGGGGACACTTCATCCCTTTAGGCTTTTGACTATCATTTGTTTTAACAACAAATCTGCTATCAGGAGCACACCTGAGGATCTGTGAGCATTTACATGCGTCCCATCAAATGCCATGCAACGGCTTAGATATATTTTTTTAACTGCATAACCTGCGTGTGTTTAAATAAAAACGATTCCTTGCAACAAGTCCTAAATCCATCAAGTTATTGTGAATCCTTGGATGGTACGTCCTGTCTGTTCATATGACAATTTGTCCGCATTTCTTATAAAAAAAACCCTAAACTCCATGTTTTTAAGTTCCGACCAACTCCACAAGTCACTTAAACAGACGACTACTTACCCTATTTTGGAAAAAGGAGGCATGAAAATGTGCTGTTGTTGCTGATATTGATATCAAACTAATTTCTTCTGAGCTAGGATTATGTAAATAAACTTTCTCCATTTTTGGCATTCCGACAGGCCTGAAAAGGAAGAAGAGAACGGTTTGTTACAGTTTGATTGCAGCTTGCTGACAGACATTTGAAATGATATGTGAAGAAGGGAAAGCTCAAACACAAAAACTGACGCGAGTGTGAAAGAAGGCTGTTGCTGAAGGGTTTAGCCCTTAAAACAGGGGGAGAAGAGTTAACCTCACTAGACCTTCCTATGCGGATGAGATTTGACACTTAGTCGAGTTATCACCTCCACATTGTTAATCCGACATTCAAAGCACACCATTACCTCTCTGATTTTCAACTTCCCTGGAAGCCTGTGGTCAGTATGAAAATGGTTTGGTATGAAAATCACACTGAAGAGATGTGAAACCTGCTCTGTTTTATGACTGTCCTGTGGCAGCAATCCTGCAGTGTATCTTTGCTCTTTTTACAAGCTTTATACTCACATTTGATGGGGTATATAAAATCAAACACTCCGATATTACTGCTTCTTACCCTTTTTTTTCCCTTTAAAGTTTTCAGATCTATAATACATTCAGAGCTCAAAACTTGAATGCTTATGAGGAAGTAGGTCAGGGTAGGGCGGGCTGAGATGGTTGTCTTTTTATCAGACTACTGAATTTGCACCCCATAAATTTTGGATTAAAGCCAAAACGTGATCTAATGTGACTGCCGCAGGTGAGGCTGGGTGCGGGCGCCGTGTTCATCCGGAAAAATGACTTCGGAGCTAACGGCAGGCGGGCGACGAGGAAGGCCCGAAACAGAGCCGAAACGAGTAAAAAAAAAGGACACTTACTGTTCGTGAAAGTCCAACATCGGAGGTTCGAATCGTATAGGTCGGCAGTTCCCGCGGTGTGGGGATGTGCTACAAAAGACAGGCAGGTGTGACAGCAGCAGCAAGAACAGGCTGCGAAGCGCAGCCTCCATAGTTGTGTGCTTTTCAAACACCCGGAGAGCCCGACTGCACCCACTCCGGCACCACACTGCGCCTCCTTAATCAGAGCATTAAGCTGGAAAGCTCGACCACTCCCATCATCTGCGCTCAATTTCCATATGTAAAATCCTCATGAAAGCGCGGCAGGGTTAATAAAAGAGCGGCTGCGTGTCAATTGAACGCCGCAAAGTTGTGTCTGCCTCTGAGCCATCGGCCGCGACCCGCCCTGGTCGCGCAACCCACCAAACCTGTTGAACAACAGGTGTAACTTAATAGAGGAGGCCATCCCCGATGGCAGAAGCTACACCTCTTGGGCCGCGCCGCCAAACAACAGGAACGTGTAATGTGAGCCTTTATGTAAATATGATGCAAAGAGAAGTGGATCGGAGATGCAGACGTGGCACTCAGCAGGGTTGAGTCAACTAAAAACAACTGCCTCACACCATGTATGCCCAGATTTCCCGTCCAGGGCCAAAGTTTTGACAGCCGTCACCTAGACTCATTAATCTCTTTGGTACCAATTCTTCATAGAAACTTCATAGCTTTGGATATCAGATACATGTAACTACTCTTAACATCACCCAGAAGTCAGACAGTTAAGAGGGAGATCGGCTTCCCTCTTAACTAATGTGTACAGGAGCAGACAATGGCCGCAGCACAGCCCTCCAACAGCCTGGCCTCTTAGAAATGGGATGGACTTCCAGACCGCTGAGCTAAACGGCAAGCCGCCACGCTCTGCTCCTTTGGGACGACCTGTAATCTACAACCTCTTCTCGCTTCACCCATTAATACAACAACGACTGACCCAAGTATGGCGAGAAAAGGGATTCAAACAGATCTGCTCTGGCTTTCGCTTGCCACTTCAAAACTACTGCGCTGAACGTTGGTGTGTAATCGGAGTAGCTGACAGGACCATGGGGGAAGACTGTGCCTCTCCGTCTCATATATACTCCACCTCAGGCCAACAGTAACATGACAAGGACATTAAAATGGAAAATTCATGACTCATTTCCTGGTGGAAATTGCTTTTATTCCTTATTTCTACAAGAATATTTAAAGAAAAATAGGAAGTTTGAGTTTTTTATTTACTTAAAAACAACACAGTCGATCTGCCCCTCGCTCAACTTCTGCCACCACAGCGGTCACATCCCCCAAAAAATCAATCAAGCGCACGGGGCAAACGGCAAAGCTTGGTCGAGACCAGAGGCACGTGTGAGCGGCATGGCCGCGGTCAACCCCCCCGAACACGTGACCACAACATAATGGACATGATGTGGCGGGGTGGGCCGACTTTTAAAGGGAGAGTTTTGTCACAGCCAAGCCCACTCAGCAGGTCGGACAATCACCGGAGGGAGAAAAAGAGACAATCCCCCCCAAAAAACAAAAAAAAACAAGTAACTGCACATTAAAGAGAACACCAGCTTCTTACGACTGCCTGTAAACGTCACTAGAAAGCAAACAACGACTTCCCCATACTACTCTGCACCCTGACATGTTCATGCAGGCCCTCGGCACGGTGAAGCAATCGTTTACCCCCCGTTTGTGTACATGCTGTCAAGCTGACATTTGCCCAGGAGACCGGCTTGCTGTGGCCACAGACTAGACGTTGGCCTCGTGGACTCTGTCACTAAAACCAAGTGCTTCTGTGAGGGGCGAGGTGTGAACCCGGGTTTCACCGTTTTTGGCCGCTTAGACGCTAAAACGTCTGCACTTGTCTCTCAAAGACAACGTTGTTTTAGAAGGGCACAATGAAGCCTTTAACAGAGAAGCTTTTCTTTTGGCTGATAATGCGGTCGTTGCTGCAAATTTTGGTTGTTTTCCAACTTTGGGGATGTTAAATCTGAGAACTGAACATGCAAGAACACAAATGTGTGCTGCCTCTCCCCTTTGTAGCTCACCGAATATGTGCAACAACACCACCTGCTCATACCCATGATGATTTGTTAAAAACTCATTTTTAAAAAAGAGAGAGAGGGGGAAAGACAATTCATACCTTTGTTGATGATATAAACTGAAATCGATGTCAGACTCTGCCTGCAAACAAAGAACACAACAGGACACAGTTAATGAAATGGGAATTGTCTGGGGTGCCATGAATGGCCACATTCAATGGGGAGTTCTGAATTAGGTTTATTGGTAATAACAGAGGAGAAAAAAAAAACTCTTTTACCTGTAAAAGGCTTCCCTCACCAAAATGAAGGACCTCTAGAATTGTGTCTGACTGAATGAATGCTGAAAAGAAAATCACAACAGGGACACAATAAGTATAATCTCCCATCACGAATATTTACTTAAGCATTTGCAATGCACTTTGTTGGGGCTGACAAATGTCTTATTTAGGCAAATTTGCTGGGAAAAACACCTTTGCTGGGACTTATGTCGGACAGTGGAAGCTGGTTGAGCTAAAAGTGAAAAGAAATGCCTCAGAAGCAAAAAGGATATCAACTAAGTGTCAGATAACGACTCCTACTAAATCAAAGTGCATCTCTACGAGTGGCTTTGTGTGTAACATTATTACCAATGACAACTCCCTGCTTTAGCTCCGCCGTTTTACAATCTCAAAGGTGGCCCTTCGACCACTTTTTCTTTTTTCTGACATCGAGTGTTGGTTAAACTGAGGTGAGCCATTTCAACCACCGCTGTGAAAAAAGTGCATGCAGTGCACGTCTATTTCAGGGACTCGGAAGGTGTCAGGGTGTGAAAGGCGGTAGTAAATCCTTGGCGATCACCCTATTATCGACAGGATTTTAAGGAGCGGGCATCCTTTGCATCAACTGCCACATGACTCCTTCCAAGTACGAATCCACAGGAGCGAGGAGCGTGAAACTCGACTCTGCGTTTAGGACGCTTTAACTGCGCCGAGCGGCTTTGCATTCGACACCGTCCCCTTCTACTTGACCGCGTTTGCAGCGGACGTTACTCGTGAAAGATAAACAGAGATTTAATTGGGCTTTTTCTAGTTGTAAGGCATTCATTCAAACATCCATGATTCACAACTAGCCTTGCTTCATCCAAGAGAATCCATCCTTCACAAACTGAAACCTTACAAGAAATGGTGAAATGTTCCAGTGCGTTTCTCGGATTGGCACACTGAAAGGGGAAGCAGTCATTTCTCTTCTGTGAATCTCAAGTCGCTTTTATTAAAACAGGCGCCTCGGTGTAAATCTGTACAAAGTTTGAACAAGACAAGCGCAGCCTACAGTATTGACACTTGCAGAGGGAATGGCAAAGTTCACATACTGCCCAAAAGAGGAGCAGTGCACGGGCCTATTCCCTGAGAGTCATAAAGCTCTGAGAGAGTGTCAAGTTTGTGGACGGGTTGTAAACAACCCCAATGCCCGTTTCAAAGTCAGCCTCAGCTGATCATGGCCGTGGATGTCAGCTGTCTGTTTGCTTCCGACCTGAGGCGACCAGGAGATCTGACAGCGGCACATTTCAACCCTGCTTGGGTAAACAACAACCGGCTGTCAGTCGGTCTGTGGACCGAACAAAGCCTTGTCTGAAAGACAGGCGAGGGGTCAAAATCAAAGTGCTTAGCCACGTTTACATTTGACACGAACGTGCCGAGTCAATTGAAAGCATTTCCTTCATTAGCTGGGTATGAGGAAGTCGTGTTCGAAAAGCCAGTCTGAGAGCCAGACTATGTTGCCAATCTGATATTTTTTTCCATTACGGTCAAATCACTTTAACGTAGGCTGCTTTAAGCTAACATTGGAAGGAGCCATGGTGCTAACCACCAGCAAAGTCCGCCTCCGCCTTGAACCATGTCATATTATTGCTAGGTAAACTGTTAGCTTAACTTAGCCATATATGGAAGGAATGACAACAAGCAATAAACCAGGCTAACGTTGTTCCCCGTGTTACGTTTAAGGGCCACATATGCAGTCGGCTACTAACTAGTTCTGTCACTCTGAACTCTCCCTGCGAATACACATAGCAGCACACTAGTTTACAATGAAGGCTCGTTAACCTCAAGGAAAGACAACTACAGCCAGGGGTTGTTTATAGGGGGTAGCAGGCTAGCTGTAATAAAGTTAGCCCGTAGAAGTAAAGCTAACCTCGACCTACACTTGGCTGAAATGTCTACGGAAAAAAAAGAAAGCGCTAGCTAATGCGGACATAGCCAGCTAAGTTACAAACCTTGTTTATTTGCCCGCGTCGTGTGAATAAAAGCAATAAATAACATCCTCAACACTCCGATACACGGTGTTCTCGTTCTTGTAGGCGACCGGCGGCAGCTCTGGGCTCTTTCTTGACTCGCCATGCTGCTGATTTGTCTGTTAAGATAACAACCGCGCGAGTGTGCTGACATGCCCGTGTAAACCTCTGCTGACTCTGTCAATCATAGCCGTGAGGGGAGAAACTCCAACTCTACTGAGCAGCAGCAACAGCAGCAGCTAACCACTAACAGGACGTTGGCCTCTCTTCTTCTTCTTCTTCTTCTTCCCTTCCTCTTCCGCTCGACGAAGCGTCAGTGGTTGGCACTCGGCCGGGGGGGCATTTAATTTACCCGGTTTTCAAGACTCGAACTGCACCACGAGCACGTCGACAATGTCGTTTTCTTTCAAGTTTTATGTATGACTTTTGTTTATTTTTAAAGCCGGGGACTGTTGTAAAGCAACACTTTTGCCGCTACCGTTCAGCCCATCTTGGACGAATAGGAACAGCAAATACTTTCCATTTGAACGACCCTGAGTGCCATTTAGATACTTATTAGAAGGGGATTTTTTTTTTTTTTTTTTTTTATCTCAATGGCATTCTAACAAAATACAATTCCTATTAAGGAAACATCATTCCAGGACTTTTTTTTTTTTGCCTTTTGGTGACAAATGGAAACAATACAGAAGTGTTCTTGCTGTACCGTCCAACAAATGAACAAAAATCCTCTGGCCTGTTCAAACTATTCTTGCTAATAATAGACTGAACAACATGTGTAGGGGCTAAAAAGCAATACACAACATAAAAGTAAAAAGAAAAAAATCTTACACAAGTCATATAAGATTGGCAAATGGTGGCATAATTAAAAAAAAAAGTTCAGAAAAGCATTTTATGGATGAGTATGAACAGCTCCTTTACTTTTTGTTTTAACGACCTTGAAGGCCCTTTAGAAACTTATTGGATAAAAGAAAATCCTCAATTTATCTTGATATCTTGAAAATTCCTGCGGAAACATTATTCCAGGTCAATCTTTCCCCTTTTGGTGATAGATAGAGTCAAGACTGTGGTACCGTCGACAAATGTCTACAATCCTCTGTTCAAACATTAACAATGAACAATATGATTGTAAAAATAACAGTCTTACATAAGTCATACAAAGATGATACACAGGGGCATAGTAAAAAAAAGTTGAAAAAAGATAACTGCAATTTAGCAATAACAAGAGACACATTACAATAAGTAATTATTTGTAGATGCTAAACAATTTAAGCTAATAAGCTAATCAATCAATCTGGGAATAGTTATTAAAAACATTGTTGGATGTTTTAATGTCTTTTGAGCATGCAAGAGCATGCTAAATATTTAAACTTTTGACTTTGCATTTAGAAAAAGAGAGAACATGACTTGCTCTTGTTAGCCCGATTCTTTACTTGGAAGCCTGAGAATAAACCAGAACAGATCAAGGGTACAAATATTAAATTTATTGGTCACAGGTAAAGCATATCAGCTCTGGGCTCTCACTGACAAAGTTCCAGAAGGATCTCAGATGGCAAGAGGATGTGATGGTCACTTAACTTCTGGGCTGGGCCTGGCCGGTACAGTAGGAAGACTGGACGCAACCGATAAAATTGGCCGGTCAGCTCTGACATGAACAGGCCAGCTCCTAATTCATGCAGATTTCTTTTGGAATGCGATACGAAAGTGTGTGTGGGAATGCTGACCTTGAAGACGTGTAGCTACTGAAACAGAGAGAGAAGAGGATGTGTGGGCACACCCGGAGAGTTTAACACAAGAGAATAGTTCTAAAAGGAATAAGACCATCAGTCATTCACATGGATTATGTTATAGCATACAATGCCAAAGTGAGTTACTATAGCCCAATTCTAACACTCTAAAGGGGTGGTAAGAAAGTAAACTATATCAATTTGTCTTGTACCTTGCCTTTAATTTCCAGTTTTAACTTTGAATGTTTCTGTATAATTCTTTGTCATGATCACTGTAATTCAGTTTTAGGGTATGGGTGTAAAATAGACTGTTCACTGATTGTTCTTTAATTAAGATAAGAAGTTGTGGACTCTACTTCAAATGGGTTGTCTTTTTGATAAGGATCCCAGTTTAGATTTGAGATGTTAATACAATTGTATGAAAGGAACAAAGAACAAAGGTTATTCAGTTCAGGTAACTTACCACCTTTCTCTAAAGGGGGCCTCTTCCAAAAGATTTATTCTCTTCAATACAAGCATTTCAATTAGAATAGTAGGATTTCACTTTTAGATTATTTCAGATCAACTTTATTAATCCCAGAGCAAGAAAATGAAATTGTACATATATACACATGGTAATGATGATTACATTTTCTTATCAATTTTTATCCTAACGTGACTGCTAATGGCTTATTCCATTGGTACATTTCTGGGTAATTTAGTTGAAAAAAAAAAACTTATGTCAGAAAATCTAATGGCATTAACAGTTTACTGTTAAATAAAGGGATATGTTTAATTTAACAAAAAGCAAAATAAATAATGACCACATAAATGGTTTCCGGATGAAAAACAGAAGTTGTTAACGGATAGCCATCTAGTGAAGCTGCACAAAGATAACAGAAGATTATGAGGCCCATACATGATGATGAAACTTCCTATTTTACGCTGTTTGGTAGTCATTTATAGCTCTATATGGGTCTAAGGATTTTACGCTCTCGTTCAAAGTGTTGGTTTCACTTTCAAAGTGAACTAACTTGTAGTGCCTTATTTTGAGAGCTACAGAGGCCGTGCTGCTTAAGAGCTCACTGTGAGATTAAACTGATAAACATGTTTATTATATGATAAGGGAGACAAAGGTTAGTTAGTTTTCCACCAGCTACTTTGACTCCTTTCATTATCAATACAACACAGTATTTTTTCCTAGATAATCGGTAGTATTTCCAGAGACTTTTTGTTATTTCAGCACCAAACGTCTCTTGCTAATTGACATTATCATTGAACCTAATTTAATCAAATAATAATTACCTATCCCACTCAAAAAACATTAATTATTTAGCAGAGGAAGGATTAAGAACAGTCATTATGTAGAATTAGTGCTGTGGACAGAAATGGACAAAGGGCACCTGACTGGCTTCCACCAGAATTCTGTCAAAAACTGGCTTTAAACTTTAACCGTCTATAATTGAATCGTCTATCATGTATCATAACAATTGTTTTTAACTAAGAAATAATTCTAAAAACTGAGTGTATGATTAAATGTGGAGATGAGGACTTGATTTTTCATAAAAAATGACATCGCTAGAGTATCTTAGAAAGACATATGAGTCACATGATAAGAGTGCAGGTCTATGGATTAAAGGGGAAGTTGATATTAGGGTAGTTGAGGCTGTCAGAGCAACACTGGTAGATCACTGATACAAAAATAAATACCATATGTACATACAAATATATATATATATGTATGTAAATAATTTCTGATAAGAAACTTCGATCCTCCCATAGAACATACAAACATACAAATCAGGCAAAGAAGATACAAAGTAGAGCTCCACTCGTTTTCACCAGCAGGGGTGCCCAATAGAAGCTGGTTAGAGTTAAAAATAAAAACTGATAGAGCCATAAATGGAGAAATGCTTGAGAAAAATATGTTTTAAACTTCAAGACTGATATGGAGATTCACCTTCCAACAGTTTCCTAACCTCAAGCAGTTTGTTTGATTTTATTGGAATCTTCTGGCTATGCCCAAAACCTCAATCCAACTGTAAATCTCAAGCATTTCTTAACACCGACGTTTTAATCCTAGTGGCCATATGAGTTAAACTCATAGAGATACATGCTGACTGACAGACATGACTTTGGGGTATCAGTACTTATACATTTACCACTTATTTATTTATATTTATAGGAGAATTATTTTCCCCCTTGCCCGAAATTATTTGCATTTCAGGCTGGAATGCAATAATAAGAAACATGCCTCGGGCGTAAATACCTGGTGTTTCACCACGTGTATATTCTGTTACTGAGAATTTAGCAAACAAAAGGCCGCAGCAAAATGCGTTTCGCTGGAAAACAAAGCCCGAAAAAAAGTTGAACAGGTACAAAGATGAATTGAAAAGTTGCATGTTAGGTAAACTTGGTTAAAGTTTTTGTCCAAGCCATCTTTCCTATCTCAGTTCTTAGATATTACAGACCGTCATCTTATAACAGGGGTGTTGTTTGAGGGATATTTGAATTGTTGGCTCAGTGAACTTATTAGCCAAGCACATAATTATTAGTTTGCTTAGTTTGGTTACTCAGTACATAGTTATTAGTTTGCTTAGTTTGGTTACTCAGCCAACGAAAGGAGTCCTTGAATCTCCGAACCTTATCTTAAACACATTCACTCAGCTCACGTTTGCACTTTTAAAAACTCAAAAGCTATAGAAATTCCTGCCACAAAACAGTTTATTTTTGGAGTTCAGAAGTTTTTTTTTTAATGGGTGTATTTTCTAAGCTTAAGGACACAATTGTAAAGATAATAGTGAAGAACTCAAATGGCAGTTGAGACTGTTTTTCCCACCTTCAAGGCTCTTTGTTGCAGTTTTATGTAAAACTGCTCCATGCCTACGCCAGTATTTACATTTTCTTCCTTTGTTGGGTCTCCGTTTCTCTTTGTTTCATAAATTCAGACGCGTAGTTCTAACTCAATCGCTCTTTTCCAAAAGAAATTATACCAAAAATTTACACGACCCCCACCAATGCTGTCAGCCAGCTGTTTCCTGGAACCTAAAGATGTTGACAAAAGCCAGCTCTGGGTTTCTGGGACACAAAGTGTTTCGAATAAAAATCAATCAGTGTATTTCTTTAATAACAACGAGGTGAACAAGTTTAGTCCGAAACACAAGGACCTGACAGCAAACGCTTCGGCTAAAGTCTGTGTCGCTGTGACCGGGTTGAAGGTTGTGTATTTTTTTGTTGCCAGCAACCATGTTTGTTCCAGGATGAAGCACCATGAATGCGGCAAGGCAGCATTCTACATCTCCCAGAGGTTAATGCTCAGAAACCGTCAAAGCCGGCTCACATTTTTGAAGCAGATCACTGTACAGTATAAAGGAATCCTCCCCGGCAGGTTTTACTGAAACACGTCTGAAAGAAAGAGAAATGTGTTCATTTCCTGGCTGATTTATCACTCTGTCACTTCTGGGAAAATATGTACCGTGCTGTGCCCATAAAAATCCTATCTGATGTAGCTCTTTCATTGTTTTTCTTTTAAAACAGAGTTAGTTCCAAGTTTTATTGCATAGAATTCCATGGCTTGTTTTTCTATTCAATACACAAATAAAACAATTCTAATAAGAAAAAAAATTTTTTTTCTTTTTTTCCCT